GGGAATGAAATTAACCACATGCAATATATCACGGACTGGAACAAAGTACCTGCTCAATAAACATTATTCTTCTACTTGGGTAAGTGCCCAAATATTTGTTGTTTTTTTTTAAAGATTTATTTTTATTTATACAAGAGCCGGGGTACAGGCCAGAGGCATGGAAGGGTGAGAGGATTCACCAGACAGAGCAGGGAACAGATCAGGCAGACTGGCTGAAATACACTGCTGAGGGGAGCAGCAGGCGAGACAGGAGAGGTCTGCGGCGCCATGTGGGTATCTCCCTGGCCGGCCAGGAATCTGAACCCGCGCTGCAGAGGATGCGGACCACCTAACAGCGCTGCACTCAATCCGCTGCACCACCCCAAATATTTGTTAATGAAAGGATTGAGGCTTATGGCCGAGGTATAAACTGAGGATCAAGCCAGCAACACACAGTAGGTGCTCAGACTAGCTGCTGATTAGAGGGGAATGTTTCACAAAGTTGCAGGGAGCAGGGAGTGCTGTCACCAACTTGGCATCTTTGGCCAGATGCCAATCCCTGTCTCAGGGAACAGGAAGCCACAGCACCTCCCCTGGTGACTAATGCCCAACCTTTGGCTTAACTGACTTCTAATTTGGCGGGAAGGCATGGATCCTGTTCCACCTCAGTTTGCCACCTTTGACACTTTGTTCCTCCTTCCCCAAAGTGGCCCCTTGAACTTTCCCACTTTCTTGAACTCTGGCCCCAGCTTCCATCAGAGTTTGATCTTTTTCCTGTGGTTCCACATAGCTCAGCCAGGTCTGGGCAGAAAAATCTCTGGAAGGTTGTCTTTTTTTCTGCCCTGGCTCAAGGGCTGGCATTGGGGAGGAGAAGTATGCCCCACAGTTGGAGGTGGGAACCAGCAGAAGTGGCATTCTTGCTCTTAAACTCAATGTGTAACCTAAGGCAAGACATGTACAGCTGGGGGCTCAGTCTTCCCAGCTGTACCCTGGCCCAGGCCGGGTCCCTCTGCACAGTCTTCCTCAATCGTTATGACTCTCACTCCTATGCAAATAAAAATACAGGATGCCAGGCAAGTCTGAATTTCAGATAAAGAAATACTTTAATATACAATATTAAATTTTAACCATTTTTTTCTTCTCCCAAATTTTATTATCCCACGATTGACACCCCCTAAATCAGGGTGCATGCTGGGGATGTGGGAGTGAAAGAATTCACCAGAGATAGAGTGGAGAACAGAAAAGGCAAATTTGCTGAGATACTGATGAGAGGAGCAGGCAAGACGGGAAGGGCCACCTGCCCCCTAATTTTAACTATTTTTTAAAAAGATTTATTTTTTATTTATGCAAGAGCAGGGGTACAGGCCAGATGCGCAGGAGGTTGAAAGGATTCACCAGAGACAGAGTGGGGAACAGAACAGGCAGACTGACAAAATACACTGCTAAGGGGAGCAGTGGGCGAGACAGGAAAGGTCTGCCACGCCATGTGGGACCCTCACCATCCATCCGGGATTGAATTGGCGCTTCAGAGGCTGCGGACAGCTTCACAGCGCGGCGCTCAACCGCCTGTGCCACCAGGGGAGGCCCAATTTTAACTATTTTTAAAGAACCATGTCAGCACAGCAGACCTCACCTGTCTCTCCAGCTGTGTCCCTTAGCAGTGTATTTCAATAAATCTGCCTGTTCTGTTCTCAAAAAAAAAAAAGCCATGTCAATTTTTTGTGTGTGTCAAATATTCCTATTTGATGATATGTACTTTTGTTACTATTTTTTGTTGTGGTAAAATATGCATAAAACTTACCATTTTACCATTTTTTAGTGTACAGCTTAGTGGCATTAAGTACATTCACATTTTTGCAACCATCCATAATAAGAACTTTCTCATCTTTCCAAACTGAAATTAGTTCCCATTAAACACTAACTCTCCCTCCCCCTGATACTGTTTTACCACCTGTCTCAATGCATTTGACTCCTAAAGGCTCCTGTGGGCTCTTGCAGTATTCGTTTTTAAGCATCAGGCTATTTTATTTAGCATGATGTCCTCAAGGTCCATCCATGGTGTAGAATGTATAACAAATACTTTTTTAGTACAGATGGCATAAATATTGCATGGGACAAATATTGCATGGAATCTACTTATACTGAAAAATTGTGTAGCCGCAACTCACATTTAACTGGGCATTCTGAATTTTATCTGGTAATTCTACTTACAGCCCTTCTTCTGGCAGTTTTTATTTCTATTTTAAAATTATGTTTGTTGAGCCTCCCTGGTGGCACAAGGGATTAAGTCTCAGCACTATGAAGCTGTCGGCAGGCATTGTAGCACGAGTTTGATCCCAGCCAGAGAGCTGACCCACATGGCGCAGAGACCTCTGCTGACTCCTCTGCTGCTCACTCAGCAGTGTATTTCAGTAGATCTGCCTGTTCTGCTCCCCAACTGTCTCTGGTGAATCCCCTCACACCCCCCACATCTCTGGTCTGTACCCCAGTTCTTGTATGCATAAATGAATCAATCTTTAAAAAAATAAAATGATGTTTATTGAGGTAACATTGGTTGATAACACTGTATATGTTTTAAAGGTAGAACTTCACATCTCTACAGTTGTAAGTTATCACACTATGGCTACTACCAAGACCCCAAAAATCCTTCACCACAGCCCACTTCTCCACTCTATGCAGATGTACCACCCTCTCCATGTAGCCTCAGTTCTATAGTCAGATTTCAAGGGTTTGTTTTGGTTTGGTTTTGTTTGTTCTTTTGCTTTGTTTCTTTATATTCCGGGTGTGCATGAAATCATGGGGTATTTGTCTTTCTCCTGGTTTATTTCACTTAGCATAATCCTCTGCAATTCTATCTATCTTTTTTATAGATGAGTAGTATTCCATCAGCATATATACATCTTTAGATCCACTCATCTGTCATTGGACACTTAGGTGGGTATATTTATTTAAAGTATTATTGATATATAACTTATACAGCATGAAATCCACCTGTTTTAAGTATGCAATTCGGTACATTTTATTGCATATTTACAGAGTCATACAACCATTATCATAATCTAATTTAAAAACATTTCCATCACCTTAAAATGAAACATTGTGCCCATGCAGTCAGTCTGGATTGTACTCCCAGCTTAACGCTGTAAAAAGAGATCATTGATCTATTTTCTGTCTTCAAAGATTTGCCTTTTCTGGACATTCCATTAATGTCATCTGATGTTGAAATCATGTGACTTTTTTTGCCTGATTTTTTTCACACTTTTTGAGTTTCATTACTATTGCACTGTGTATCAATGCTTCAATTCTTTTTTGCTGAATAGTATTCATCATAAATATATGCCATATCATTTGGTTTATCCATTCACCCATCGATGGTCATTTGGGTTGCTTCCACTTTTTAGCTGTTGTGAAACGTACTACTTACTGGTGTCCAAGCTTTTATGTAGAGGGTTATTTTCATTTCTCTTGGTACAGACCTAGGGATGAATATTAAGTTTATGCTTAACTTGTAAAAAAGATTTCGAGATATATTTCCAGTGCATATGGGTGTTTTTTGAGACAAAAAAATGCCTTTTTTTTTGTATTCGGTGATCAAGTCCTTCTGTTTGCCCTAGAACTTAAAATAAAACTCAAATTTCTCAGGAAAGTTCACAAGGCATTATGACAGCTCCTCAGTGGAGCCCTTGAGCCTCGCTTCCTTCCCTCCACTCGCTCAGTCCTCCAGTGTACCCCTGATATTAGCCAATTTCTTTACGATTTTCAAGTCTGGCAAAAAAAGAACTTCCTTTAGGCTAGAGAAAGCCTCCTCCATTACGCAGCTTTTTCTTAAGCACTCAGGTGCCTTGAGGTTTTTTTTTTTTAATTATTATTTTTTAAATTCTATATATTTTTTACATCATTTTTTCATTTTTGCACAATGTATGCATTTTCATCTTGGTTATAGTCCCCATACAATGCCCCCCTCCCCCCGCCCCCCGTTTTGCTCCTACCGCTGACCCAAACCACAAATGAACATTTCTTTGCGCTGCTAGACCTTGAGCTGCTAACGGGCCCCCAGCACCCCCGGGGCTTCCTACTCCCAGGCACAGCTTTCACCCCTCTAAGAGCCGCGAAGTCACTGACGCCTCCTCAGGCTTCTCATAGAGCCCGATCAGCAGAGTCCCATTTCACAGGTGGGGAAACTGAGGCACAAAGCGATAAAGGAGCGTGGCCCCGCAGCGCTCGGCACACTCTTCTTGCACGAACGTGTGTTAAGTATTTCGTAGCTCGGGCACATGGCGCTCAAAAAGCTTCCTCACCAAGAAGAAAGTGTGCATTTTGGGGGTGTTTCTCCCGAGACAACCCCCCGAGGCCCGCCCCTCGTCCTAAGCCCCGCCCCCGGCCGGCGCCGGCGCGGCCCCGTTTGGAGCCGAAACCCTGCCCGGGGGGCGTCCGCGGCGGCAGCTCCTCGGGGCCTGCCCCGGCGCTGGCCAATGTCCACTCCCGCCCCGGGGCGCCTCTCGTGACAGCCAATGGCCCGCGGCCCTCCATTAAACCCCCTCCCTGAGAGGGGGACGCGGCGGGGCCCAACGGCGGGCCGCCTCCCGGGGCGGCCTCGGCCAGCCCCTCAACGCTAAGCCCCGCCCCAGGCGCCCCGGCCGCCCGCCTCTTCGCCCGCTGCGCCTCCGTTTCCCTCCGCCCACTTTTCCCCTTTCACCTCCCTTCACCTCCGCCCCCTCCATTAGGCCTCTGGTCACGCCCCCTGCTTCTGCCCGTTATCCAATCCCGTTAACTTGAGCTGCTCCATCCCCTCTTCTCTTTGGTCCCCGCTCTCCTCTATCCCCGCACGTGGTACTGAGCGACAGCATCGCCCACCCGTGACGGGCGAGAGGCAGGACTTCCGGTATCCCTCAGGCCAATAAACACGCTCCGGCCCGCAGTCCTGGCGGCCGCCCCCGCCCCCTCGGTGTCCCGCTCCCGCCCCCGGCTTTGCCTCCCGCCGCTGCCGCCGCTGCCGCTGCCGCCGCCGCCGCCGCCGCCGCCGCCGCTTCCCGCGGCCCGGGCCTCCGCCGCCAGCATGCCGCACGCCTTCAAGCCCGGGGACTTGGTGTTCGCCAAGATGAAGGGCTACCCGCACTGGCCGGCCCGGGTGAGGCCGCCGGGGAGATGGGCGAAGGTTGGGGGTGGGGGGTGGGGCTCCAGGGGCCCCAGACTCGGGGGCCCGCACACCTGGAGTCTGGGGGACTCCGGACTTGTAGGACCCGCACGCCCGAGGTTTGGGGGGACCCGGGCTTGGGGGACCCGCACGCCCGGGCTTTGGGAGGATTCGGGGCTGAGGGACCCGCGCGCAGGGGTCTGGGGTGCCGGGCCTGAGGGATTTTCGCCGGCAGGGAGAGCTGGGGTCCCAGGCCTGAGGGACCCGAACGTCGGGGTTCTGGGGGTCCCCGGACTGTGTGGCCTGCGTACCAGGGGTCTTGGGTACCCCGGACCTGAAGGGGCGGCTTGGGGGTCACAGAGTCGAGTGATGCTGGGTGTGCAGGACCTGAGACCTGAGGGGACGGGTTCAGGGGGAGGGAGCAGGGAGGGGCGAGGGGGCCGAGCACAGTGTGATTTGTGGGGGGCTGGGTTTATTGGGAGAGGAAAGTGCCCCAAGACTGGAGGACCTTCTTTGTGGGGTCACGGAAGCCAAGTCCTAAGGGTGGGGTGGGGGTGTGTGCTGAGGGCGGCGTTTAAGGGCGCGAAGGAGGAGGGATGCAGTCAGGGAGAAGCTGCTGGAGCCTCAGGACCGAGGGGTGAGGGAGTCAGGACTGGGAATTGGGGCTGTGGGCTCTATTCACAAGGTCGCTGGAGCTGAGATGACTGAACATGAAAGTGAGAGGTCTGAGGGGCCAGGAATATAAATAAGACTTGTTTGGGGCACCCTAGTCCCCTGTGAAGATTCACACCCCCCCCCCCCCATTCCCCAGACTCAGAGGAGGAAACTGGTTGGGATGAGATTGTCCTCTCTGATGCTTGAATCAGATCAGCCCCACTCAAGGGGACTCCAGGCTGAAGGGGAGCAACCGAGGGAAGGCGACTTGGGGTTTCTTTGGGGAAAGTTGGGATGCAGACAGCTCAAGTGGTGTGGGATGGGGGGTTAGGTCTGAAGGGCTCTTTGAGCCCAAGAGTCGCAGATCTGTAGAGTGGAGGTCAAGCTCTGTGAGAGCAGCCAGCAAAGGAGGGACCTGAGGTTTATTGTCATCCCAAGGTCTCAGGACTCCAAATGCTCCCCTGCACCCCCAAGACTGAGGCTGGTGGAATATGCCTGGTACAACTGAAGGAATTTGGTGGGTGGGGTTGGCAGCCCTGGGTATCAGCAGGGTGAGGTGGGCAGGGCAGGTGACCTGGGCAGCCCTGTGGGATGGCTGGAGATTCCAGCCTTGCTCCCTGCCTGTTCGGTCCACCCTTCCTTGGTAGAAGTAGCCAGAAAGACATCACACAGAACTCAGGGTTTGGATGCCAAGGGGACCTCAGGGACCTCAGTCTGGGCAACCCCAAGAGAAGTTAGAGCTGGTGCTACTGTTAGGACGTCTGGGCCTCAGGATGAGAGGCAGATACTTGGTGAGACCAGAGCAGAAGCAGGGTTTAGAAGGCATCCAGGCTGGTCCTCACCTTGATGGAGTTTGGGGATGCTTCTGTGCAGAAATGGGATGCTTGGGGTAGATGCCAGAGGCCCAGGGTCCACCGTCAAAGACTTTGGAAACTAGCCCTGAGGAAAATGGAGGCAGAAAGTCAGGAGCAAGCCACCCAGGCACTGAAGAAGAATGGAAGGAATTAATGAGAACTGGAGAGCCCACTCTAGTCTTATTTGCTTGCACTTAATTTCTTGGGATACACAGCGCAATGAAACTTTACTGGCACTTTCCTTCTTTCCTGAGTACCAGCTTCTCCCTCTTCTCAGCACCTCCTTCCTTTAGCCAGCTCTCTAAGCCCCTAACATTTCCAAGCACCTGATTGGAAGTATAGGGGCTGCTTGCCTCCCGTGGGGAGGTGACTGACAGCTGCCGGAGCCCATGGGCCTGTATGGAGAGGGTGGGACTTCCTGGATGCTCAGCGCCTGTCTCCTGCAGCCCACCCCCCACCCTCTGCATCCTTGGAGCTGCCAGCTGCAGTCTCTGGGAAACCCACCACCGATAACCTCTTTGCGGGAAGGGATCCTGTGGGAGGGTTCTGAGAGTTCATAGAAGCCCTGCCTGGCCTCACCCCCCAACTGCTCAGAGGACCTTATCTGGCTTTGCTCAGGTGAAGTACCCTGGGGAGTGGGGGGGTTTGCACAGAAGCATGCAGATGCTTAAGTGGAAGGTGATGTGGCTTCTTAAAATGAAGGCTCCCTTTTTCCTAGCATACTCTACCCCAAGTAACTTGGCTGATTTTTTGGTAATTTCCTGGGTCAGTGGGTGAAACTCCCCCCTGCCCCCCAGCTGCCCTCTGACTGGCCTCTCACTGCAGATTGATGACATCGCTGATGGTGCCGTGAAGCCCCCACCCAACAAGTACCCCATCTTCTTCTTTGGCACACACGAAACGTAAGTGTTCCCAGCTAGGGCTGAGTTTTCCAATTGGTTACCCCCCACCGCCCCGCCGGTAGCCTGGCTCACCTGGGACTGGCCCCATGGTTCCTTTCTCCAGAGCCTTCCTGGGACCCAAGGACCTCTTTCCCTACGACAAATGTAAAGATAAATACGGGAAACCCAACAAGAGAAAAGGCTTCAATGAAGGACTGTGGGAGATCCAGAACAATCCCCATGCCAGCTATAGTGCTCCGCTGGTGAGTACCTGGGGATGGAGGGCAGCCCAAATGGGATCAGGTATGTGTGTACATAGGAGTAGAGGTGGCTTTAGCTTGTCTCCTAGAAGGAGGCGAAACCTTTAGGTCTAGAGTCTTCCCATTGGCACTGCTGACATAACTGCTGGACCATTCTCTGGGGGGTGTCTGTCTTGCGCACTATGGGATGTTTAGCAGCAGCCCTGACTCCACATACTCCATGCTAGGAGCACCCTCACCTGGGTTGTAACAACTGAATGTGTCTCCAGACGTGGCCAGGTGTCCCTGGATTGGGTGAAGGAGTGCAGAATCACCCCTGGTGAGACCCCTGCCCTAGGATCAGCCTGCAAATACAAGTGTTGTCATAGCTTTTACCAAACTTTTTATTTTTATTTTATAAGGAAAACATTGTTTTTCTTTCACTAATAGCCCCTCCTCCCACTACTACTAACCTTTCAATTCAGAAAAAGGCCATACCTAATAGATGTGAAAGTTTCTGTTTAGGTGGAAAAAAAACTCCAGGAGTCACAGAGATAATGTCTTCATGGGGAATTAGTGTTTGGAACTATTCAGCGAAACAGAGGAATTTAGAAAAGTAGAAATTAACTTCATAAATAGCCATGGAAGGATGGCAGAGGGGTGCCTTGTCAAATACTTTGGGGTGAGATGCTGAAGGGAGGTGGTGCTGGGGTTTTTCACTCTGCTTTTAACCACTTCTTTTGGGGGTTCCTGCAAGATACGAGGTAGTGGGGAGGATTAGCTTGGTCTAAGGATGGGTTGTGGTGAGATTGGTTTTCAGGTCACAGGAGCTAACTGGAAGGGACAGAACTTAACTGTTAGGGACATCAGTGTGGTCTTCAGGCAGTATAGCTTGGGTCTAAGTGGTCTGGTTTATGTTTGTAAAGGACTAAGTAGCCCTGTAGTGCCTGGTCCTGCTTGAGAAATCGGGGTCTGGAGATGGTCTAGGTGTACCTTTCCTGTGGCTCAGCTCTTCCGCTAACTCAGCAGACACTTGTGTTTCCACCTGTCACATGCTGTGTAGGGACCAGGGATCCAGGGTGAATCAGGCACAGTTCTTGCCTTCTGGAGCTCACCATTCAGAATGTGGGTTCATGAAACAGTTACCTGAGCACTCAGGCCCACACATGCTACATATTACTGGTGTTTCACTTTTTTTTTTTAAACTGAGGTATCAGTTTACAATACTGTACATGATTTAAGGCGCTAGAGTGACACCTCTTCAGATCTCTGTTACCACACCACACCCATCACCATATCATTGGACCCCCACCCTCATTGCTCCCTCTCCCACCCACCCCTCTGGTAGCCTAATTCTTGTGGTGTTTTACTTTTATCTCCTGTGATGCATATGGGGCATGGAGGCTTCCTCAGCTTTGCTACCTGCTGGCTGTTCCTCGGCTTTGCTTGTCCCCAGCTTGGGTAAGCAGATCAGAAGGTCCTGAAGGTAACTGAGTTTCAAGAGATCATTTTCTGGCCCCAGCTCAAGTTCTGTTTGGTTACATCCAAGGCTTATTACCTCCTGGTGAATCATCACACCATTTAATATTTATTACACACCCACAGCTTGCTAAGTACTGGATAGATGCCTGCCCTCGAGGAAATGAAACTCAAAAATGGTGCAGCTTTGACATTACACGAGCCCTGTACAGACTCTCCAGGTGAAGGACTAGCTGTTATACCTCTCCATGGAACGTTAGTTTAAAATGAAGACTCCTGGACCCTACCCTTAGAAGTTTGGGCTTTGTATTAGTAGTTTGGAGCTGAAGCCTGGGAACCTTGAGGTGTTTCTTCCCAGGCATCATCTTAGATGCTTCTGTTATAGCCAGTCCACAAGTAAGCTTATGGTACTGCTTTGCGGGTATCTCAGCAGTTCCTTTTTTCATCCTTGAAAGTCTGTAGTTCATTTCTACATTTCAAGTGGCATTGTAGACTCAGGGTAGAAAATTGAAGAGGTATACAAAACAGTGGCGCTGCCTCTTGGCCACTGTTTCATTTTCTTTTTTTTTTTTTTAAAAGATTTTTTTTTTAAATTTATTTATACAAGAACCTGGGTACAGGCCAGAGACGCAGGAGGGTGAGAGGATTCACTAGAGACAGAGCAGGGAACAGAACAGGCAGACTGATGAAATACACTGCTGAGGGGAGCAGCAGGTGAAACAGGAGAGGTCTGCTGTGCCATGTGGGTTTCTCCCCAGCCAGCCGGATCGAACCTGTGCTGCAGAGGCTGCGGACAGCTTCACAGTGCGGCGCTCAACCGCCTGCGCCACCAGGGAGGCCCCCACTGTTTCATTTTCATCTCAAGAAAGCCATACTTATCTTTCTAAGATTCTTAGTTCATATAAAATGTTGTATAGCTTTCTTAGGCATATAATTCTGTACTTTATTCTCTTGTCAGTCTTTGATGGTTGGTCCATGTGAGCATATAGTCAGTGCTTACTCTTTATTACCCCCCACCAGTGCCTCTGCCAATGGTGTATAGTAAGACACATTTCTCCTTCTCCTTGCCAAGCCAGGAGGTGAAAGCTGGTCTCTCTGTGTGGTTCCAGCTGCTTAGTCTTTTGGTTCCCACGGTAATCCTGAGAGTGAGCTGGGCAGGCGGTATCTTTTGCATTTTACAGATCTATAAACTTTCTGAGGTCCACAGAGTTCACTTGATTGCCCAGGGGGACCCAGCTAGAGTCTAAAATCTCCTAGACCTAGACCAGGATTTCTCAACACTTGGTGCCAGATCTTTCTGTATGGGGTGCCATCTTGGGTACTGAGGGTGTTAAGCAACAGCTTTAAACCCCACCTCCCTGATGCCAGGAGCACTCCCAGCCCCATTTTTTTTTTTTTTTTAAGATTTACTTATTTATGCATGTAAGAGCTGGGGCACAGGCCAGAGACTTGGGGGGGGGGGTGAGAGAATTCACCAGAGACAGAGTTGGGAACAGAATAGGCAGACCAACTGAAATACACTGCCGAGGGAAGCAGCGGGCACGACAGGAGAATCTGCTACACTATGTGGGCTGCTCCCTGGCTGGGGATCGAACTTGTGCTGCAGAGGCTGCAGACTGCCCCACAGTGCAGTGCCCAACCCCCCATGCTACCAGGGAGGCCCCATCCCAGCCCCATCTTGATAGCCAGTATGTATCTAGACATTGCTAGATGCCATCTAGGGAACAAAATCACCCAAGGTGGAGAACCATTGACCTAGAAGGATCCCAGTTTAGTGTAGTTGTGTGTCGCTTAACAATGGGGACATGTTCTGAGAAATGCATCATTAAGTGATTGTGTCCTTTTTCAAATGTTATAGAGTATAGTTACACAAACCTAGGTGGTAGAGTCTATTGGGACCCCCATTGTTTACATGGTCCTTCGCTGACTGGAGCGTCCTGAAACTATGCATGATTATGCATCTTCGTCTCTCAGTAATGAAGGGGTAGAAGGGCCTGTCCCAGGTTCAGAAGCTCACAGTGCTGCTGGGAGGACCCAGTGAGCAAGTGTGCACTGGCCCCTCGTTACAGGGGCACAGCACAGTAGGTGATGTGAGTGTCATTTGGGAATGAGGAGGCCTAGCTGCATTTGATGTTCCTTTTCCACCTTGGTCACACTCCAGATTCATTGCAGATAAATGCTTGTTCCTCTCTGTGCCCCAAACCTCTTCATATGAATCAGATTTTCTAGCACCTTTCCTGGTAGACAGTTGGATCCCATGGGCCAACCTCAGGAGAGCTCAGGTTCTTGCCTTTATCTGCAAGCATAATGTAGGGCAAGTCATTTACCTTTCTAGAGACTCAGTTTCCCCAATTATGGAACATGCACATGCATCCCATCACCTGAGCCAGCAGTCGAGGCGCCCATCAGATCACGATAGATGGGGAGCTTGGCCAACTCCTGCATGATCTGGCCTGACCTCCTGCTCCCTCCTCTGTTCTACCCTGTCTTTATCTAGATATTCTGTGACCTCACTAAACCAACCTCTCCCTGTCCTCAGCCATGCTATTCCCACTCTCTGGAATGTATCTAGCCCCTACCCCTTTGCATGCTTGTGATGACTCCTCAGCTAAAACTTCACACCCTCCAGGGCTTCCCCCACCCCCCAAACCATCTGCTGCAGCTGCACATCCACATGCAGGTATTTCCCTTTCTGCCTGCCACCATGATGTGACATTGAGCTATTTATATGCCTGCAGTCTGTCTCACTAGATTGTAAGCTATTTGGGGGCAGGGATCATGGGTACTAGCTACCTACCTACCTACCGAGCCACAGATTCAACCCAGTGTGTGAATGTGCCAGCCCCTTTGGCTATAATGGAAGTAGCAGTACGTGGAAGCTTAAGCCCAGAGTCCCTGCCCTAGATCTCCTTCCTCCTCCTAAGAATAATAGTAATCATGAAAGCAGACATTGATGGACTCCTTGCTGGTCTGGGCGTGGCCCTTCATAAGTCAGGTATTCTGTTTCACCCTTGCCACTGTCCTGCAAGGCCTAAACATTGGCATCCACATTGCTCATATGTGGAAATTAAAGCACAGAGATTTAAGTCACCAGCCTTGAGTTTAATCTTGAATCCTGCAGTGCTGGGATCAGTGTGCTCATCACACGTGCTCCTCTTGTCCCTCTGCCTCACCTCTCAGAACTTTCTGGGCCTCAGTTTTACCATCCAGATATTGACAAGGTCAGACCTGACGTTGGAGACCCCATTGGTGGGTGCTGGGTCTCCATCCTGGTTGGTCATGCCACTCAAACATGGGGATGACTTGTGGTCTGCCCTTCACCTTGTCCCCCAGCCAGTGAGTTCCTCGGACAGTGAGGCCCCCGAAGCTGAGCCGGCAGGTGGCAGTGAAGATGATGAGGACCGGGGGGTTATGGCTGTCACAGCTGTGACTGCCGCAGCCGCCAGTGACAGGATGGAGAGCGACTCAGACTCCGACAAGAGTAGTGACAACAGTGGCCTGAAGCGGAAGGCATCAGCCTTGAAGGTAGGCGCTGGACAGGCCAACTTGGCCACTGGGGTTGTGGGTGGCCACAACCCAGCAATGCTCTGGCCCTTCTTCCTGTCACCAGAGATTGCATCCTAAAACCTACTCTAAAAGAAACCCTATTCCCATTAATAGTCACGACTATCCTCCCCCGTCCCTCGTACCACAACCCCCCTTTCTGTCTGTGGCTGTGCCTTTTCTGGACATTTCACATCAGGGGGCTCTCACACTGCTTGATCTTTTGTGTCTGACTTCCCTTCACGGGTGTCATGTGTTCAGGGTCCATCCATGTGGTGGGGTGCATCAGTGCCTCTCCTCTTCCCGGCCAGATAGTCCATAGTGGATGGACTGAGTTGTAATTATTAATTTGTTGATGGCCATTTGAATTGTTGCCCTTTTTTTGACATTACAAATAATGCTGCTGTGAACAGTCATGTACGTGTTTTTGTGTGGACGTGTTTTCAGTTGTCTTGAATGTGTTCTCTTTTTGCCCCCCTTTTTTTCTTCTTCTGCTTGTTTACTGCTGCTAAGTATTTGAGTGCAGAATGAAAAGACCAGCTTCTAGCACCAAGTTCTATTTGATTTAAAAACACTTTTAAAGAAAGTATCCTTTTGTTTTTTACAATTATAATAAATTTGACTTACTGTAGATAGAAGATGCAAAAAATGTAAAGGGTATGGTGAAGGGAGGAGCAGGCATTTCTGCCAAGGCTCAAGGAATAGGATGGGGCCAGCCAGAAAAAGGCCTGTGGCGAGCCTCCTAGAGGCAGCAGGATGTACAAAGGCCCTGTGATAGGCAGGTGTGGCAGGAGCAGATAAGCCTCAGCAGGGCCAAGATAAGGGTGGAGAAGGTGGTAATACATGCATAACATAGAACTTGAGCCATTTTTAAGTGTGTAGCTCAGTGGCATTAAGTAAATTCATGTTATTGGGCAACCATCCCCACCCTCCATCTCCAGAACTTTCTCACTTTCCCCCAATGAAACTGTCTCCATTAAACACTAACCCCCGTCCCCCCCAGGCCCTGGCACCCACTATCCACTTGCTGTTTCTACGGCTGTGATTCCTCTAGGGCCTTCGTGTGAGTGGGTCACGCAGTGCACTTGCATATGGCTTAACAATGGGCTTGTTTTGAGAAATGTGTCGTTAGGTGGTCTCGTGTCATGTGAATGATGTGGAGGGTGACGACATAAACCTAGATGGCACAGGCTGCCATGCACCTGGGCTCTGTGGCAGCGCCTATGGGGGCCACCGTCTGTACGTGGTACATCGTTAATAGGAAATGTCATTTTGTGGTCCGTGACCCGTCTTGTCCTTTTCTGTCTGGTTTATGTCACTGAACATCATGCCCCCAGTGTTTAAGATCCCTGGTGTTTATTGGGTTCTTTTGAAGGGGTCCCTGCCAACCCCTTCAGGTTCCAGACCTTCCGCTCTTCCCAGGGCTGGGAGAGGCAGGCGGGAGGGCTTCCTGCCGAGGTGGGAGACTTGGCGCGTGAGTTCCTGGTTGCCGATCTGCTCGAGCTGCTCCCCTTCCAGATGTCAGTCTCAAAACGAGTTCGAAAGGCCCCCAGTGATCTGGATCCGGCCAGCGTGTCCCCCTCCGAGGAGGAGAATTCGGAAAGTTCATCTGAGTCTGAGAAGACCAGTGACCAGGTGAGCTCTGGGCTGCTCCTCGGGTGCTCGGGGGATGCTGGGTGGGCTGGCGCTGCGGCAGCTACTTGTCAGCTCCCGCTCTCCACCCAGGACTTTACCCCAGAGAAGAAAGCTGTGGTCCGGACGCCCAGGCGGGGCCCCCTTGCGGGACGGAAGAAAAAGGTAGAGGCTTCGTTTCTGGTTTGTTTCCATGCCTGCTGGGGAAACTCTAGAGCTTTGCTTCGAAGTGCACCGGCTTGTTTTTGTCTTTTCTTTGTTTCTTTATGTCTCTCATGAAGGCGACACCGTCCAGTGTCTCTGTTTATTCTTCTGTCTGACTTTGCTTTGCCTAATCCCCTTGAGTTCCTTCCATTTTACTGCAAATGGAGAATTTTTCTCCTTTTCCCTTGTAGCTGGGTAGTATTCCTCTGCGCGTGCCTCGCTCGCCGTCTTTATCCAGTCGCGCGTCAGTCTCTCTTTGGAGCAGGGTAGCGCGGGCCCAGGGAGGCCTCCGAGAGTGCCAGCTGCTCCCTGTGCTCGTGGCCTCAGCCCCCTGCTTCTGAGCGTCTGTGCACTGTGCTGTCGTCTTCGGAACAGGAGACGGCCAGACTGCTGCTCCTCAGAGGGTTTGGAGCCCGCTCTGGGAGCCGGGATGCTGGAATTGCCACTGGAAAGAGGAATCTAGGGCTCTGCTCTCACATGGGGACAGAGTGTGTGCCATGTGCACGCATCTGTGTAAATGTGTATGTGTCTGGGAGAGGATGCATGCATGTTGTATGTGGTCTACCAGGGCACATGTGTTGCACATACAAGCCATGTGCTTGTCTGATGTCTCATGTGTGGGTGTGTACTTGTGCATAAGTGTGTGCACACACTATGTACACGTGTGTTGTTGCAGGTGAGTGCATATGATGGGCATATACTGTGTGTGCAAGTGCGTGTGTGTGTGTTGTACACACGTGCACTCGTGCTGTGGGCATAGGTGAGCGCGGGAAAGAGGGCAGCCTGTCTACTTGGGCCCACATGCAAGGCTTTATGTTGCAAAATGTTTGGTTTTTTTGTAAAGATTTATTTTATTTATACAAAGAGCTGGGGTACAGGCCAGATGTGCGGGAGGGTGAGAGGATTCACCAGAGACAGAGCGGGGAGCAGAACAGGCAGACTGACTGAAATACACTGCTGAGGGGAGCAGCAGGCGAGACAGGAGAGGTCTGTCGTGCCATGTGGGTTGCTCTGTGGCCAGCGGGGATAGAACCAGTACTGCAGAGGCTGCGGACAGCTTCACAGCACTGTGCTCAACTGCCTGTGCCACCAGGGAGGCCCGTTGCAAAATGTTTTGTTTACGGGAGAGGTCCAGGGTGCGCACGCACACACATGACTGAGGAGTGGGTGAGACCCAGGAGAGTGTGCACCATAACTGACCCTGCTGACTCCCGTCAGGCGGCTGCAGGTGACTTCAGGACGCCTGTGATTCTGGCCAAGATGAAGAGTTTCTAATATGGGGGATGGTGGATTTTTGTGGGGTGAAGATTCAGGGATTGGGGTGCTCACGGCCTGCCCGTGCCCTGTGTTTCTCTCACCTCTGTGCCCGGTCTCTCCCAGAAGGCACCATCAGCCTCCGACTCAGACTCCAAAGCAGAATCAGACGGGGTCAAGGGGGAGCCAGTGGCTGTGGCCAGGTCAGCGTCCTCGTCCTCTTCGTCCTCCTCGTCCTCCTCCGACTCTGACACGGATGTGTCTGTAAAGAAGCCTCTGCGGGGCCGGAAGCCAGGTATGGCCATAGCTCCTGGGCTGGCCCATCAGGGTGTCTGCCCATCTAGAGACCCAGTGTGAGCCACCGCCTTCTCCTCTGCCCTAGCTGAGAAGCCACCCCCAAAACCACGTGGGCGGAAACCGAAGCCTGAACGGCCCCCGAGCACCTCGAGCAGTGACAGGTGGGGTGGCTTTTTACCAGGTCCTCAGCCCCGCCCTGGGGCCACAGGCAGTGGGTGGGCCCGTTCCCTCAGACTTGGTGGCGGAGCTTCCTGTTCCGAGGACTCATTCCCCTGCTGACTGGCCTGCGCCCCCAGTGACAGCGATGAGGTGGACCGCATCAGCGAGTGGAAGCGGCGGGACGAGGAGCGGAGGCGGGAGCTGGAGGCGCGGCGGCGCCGGGAGCAGGAGGAGGAGCTGCGGCGGCTGCGGGAGCAGGAGAAGGAGGAGAAGGAGCGGAGGCGGGAGCGGGCCGAGCGTGGGGATGCCCCGCATGGGGGCAGTGGCGCCAGCAGTGGCGATGAGCTCAGGGACGATGAGGAGCCTGTCAAGAAGCGAGGCCGGAAGGGCCGGGGCCGGGGTCCCCAGTCCACTTCTGATTCAGAACCGGAGGCCGAGCTGGAGAGAGAGGTGCGCCCAGCCTAGGCTGGATTCTTGGGGTCCCCTGAGAGCCTACACTGGGTTGACCCTAAAGGCTTCAGTTGAAAGACATTCAGTATCTGAATGGAGTGAAAGGAATCTGTGAAGATAAATGGGAAAAGCATTCTAGGTGGAGGGCACAGCAAGTGCAAAGGCCCTGGGGCAGGACTAGCCCTGGGTTTTTTTGAAGAACAATGAGTAGATCCATGTAGCAGGCACAGGAGATCACAGGAGATCACAGGAGAGGGCGGAGGTGATGTCGGAGAGGAGGGCACCAATGCCGGGCCTTGTGGACTATGGGGAGAACTTGGACACTTTTACCCCCAGGGAAGCGGGAGCTCTAGAGGGCTGTAGGCAGAGGAAGGGTGCTCAGAGGTGCTTTCTGGCATCTGGGGGGTGGGGGGCAACTTGGGAGTAGTGAGGAGGCCTCTGAGGAGGATCAGTGGTGCGTTAGGTTCTGTGTGGTATGGCCAGGACCATCCGCTCCCCCGCCCACCCTCTCACATTCTAGCCTGAATCTGGAAGTCCGATTTCCCAGCCCTGATACCTTCTTGACTGAACCTGAATCCCACATCATGAGAAGGGGGGGTGAGGTAGCAGGAGGAGGGCATTTGCTCTCCCCGTTACTCTCTCTCTTGTCACAAAGGTGGAGCAGGTGCCTGTCACAGGAGGTGTTCTAGCTATGGCCTCGGCTACCCTGTGTAGTGTCAGGCTTGGCCTCCACCTTCCCACAGGTCCTTTCAGGGCGTGAGAAGCTGCTGTCCAGTGTCAGACTGGACAAGGGGTCCTTCCCTTCCCATCCTGTTCATTCCACCAGCTCCTCTCAGCAGTATGAAGGTGGTGGCATAAAGTATTGAACTGTATCTCTAAGGGAGATAGTGCAGGGATCTGGGGTCAGGCCCTACTTCCCATCACATAGCCATTCTCTTTTCTGTAGGCGAAGAAATCAGCTAAGAAGTTGCAATCACAAAGCACAGAGACCGTGAGGAGACCCAGCCAGAAGGAGAAGAGGGGACGTCCTGAGGAGAAACCCCGAGCCAGGTCAGCTCCCGTTGGACCGCCTCCTCTCGGCAGGCCCCAGCTGCCCCATCCTGGCCCTTGTCCTTCTCTGGGATCCCAGGGATCCCTTAACTGTTATGGGAGGGGCTCAGCTTCCAAATTCAGTCTTGGAGACAATCAGGTTGAAGTGTCTGGTTCTGGAACCACCCCCAGGAGCTGCTATTCCAGCATTGTGCTCACCTGGGCATTTTTGCCCCCACCCAGGGGACATTGGATGTCTGGGGACATCTGGTTATCTTGACTGGGGGTGCTCTTGGCACCCAGTGGATGGGGCCAGGGATGCTGCTTAACACCCCATAGTGCCCCAGTTGGCCCCCCTAAGAGATACTGCCCGATGTCCACAGTGTGTGGAGGAGATTGTCCTTCCCTCCTGTGGTTCTCAGATATTTTAAGTCTGTGGCCCCCTGAGGCGGTGGGGGCGGGGAGAATTAATTCCCCACTCTCTAAGTGAAATTCCAGCTATCGCTGACCAGCCTATCCAGTGGCAGCTTGTCAGAAATACTGGCGAATGGAAAGTGGACTCAGCCTTGGTGATGAGCCTGCTCCACTGTGTGTTTCAAACTGGAGTGGCTTTTAATAGCCCGGCAGTCACTGACCCTCATCCATGTGTTTAAACAACAACAAAAACCAGAATTCTGGGACTTCACATTTGTTTGCCCACAGAAACCCGAGGGAGGGTTGATGTCTGTGGTTGCCTGGGAGCCCGCCCTCTGCTAGCCGTGGTGGGCCTTATCCCCTCCCGGCTGCGCGTCTCCCAGAGGCTTCCTTCACAGCAGGTGCAGGTTGCCCCACAGACCCTGACTCCTCGTCAGGGGGATGCATAGCCGGGGATGTTGGTGAGGGGCCCAGCTAATAAGGGGTGCCTGTGACTCCCCACAGGCAGGTAAAGGTGGAACGTACCCGGAAACGGTCCGAAGGGTTCCAGCCAGACAGGAAGATGGACAAGAAGAAAGGTGAGGGGTGGGATTGCTGAGAGGGAGGAGGGAAGGTGCAGAAGAGCTTGTTCCCTCGGCCAGCTGGCAGGTGTTGGAGGCCAAGCTGGTCTTTGCCTCATGGCCCGGGCCTCATGGCCCTGTTCAGGCCTGCACTGTGCCTTCTCTCCTGGCCACAGAACCCTCCGTGGAGGAAAAGCTCCAGAAGTTACACAGTGAAATCAAGTTTGCCCTGAAGGTTGACAATCCGGTGAGCCAAGTCTTCCCTACCCCTTCATGTCTGGATTTCCTTAGAAGTCTTGGGAAGCCGTGACAAGTACAGTGTGTGGGGTAGGAGGGCAGGTGTTGCTGTGCCCATCCCAGGTCTCTTGGCTGAGGGCTCTGGGCCCTCTGCAGGTGCAGTGTTCGGTGTCCCCACCAGGTGGCTTCATGAAGGCCCATGAGGCTCCTTCTTGTCTGTCCCTGTTTTTCACCTGTCACTGGTTCCCCAAAAGGAGTGCCTCTGGGTTTCCTTTGCCCTGTCAGGACTCCTAGGACCCCTGAGCTAGGTGCTGTCCCTCCTTACTCCCTCCTACCCTGCAGGATGTGAAAAGATGTCTGAATGCACTAGAAGAGCTAGGGACCCTGCAGGTGACCTCACAGATCCTCCAGAAGAACACAGATGTGGTGGCTACTTTGAAAAAGGTATGTGGGGGTGGGGGGCAAGGCCTGGTGGCTCATGGAGGTGGAGTCTACCCACAGAACCAGGTTCCGGTGGGCAGCCTGTGGAAGGGGTAGTGCTGCTCTTCATGGAGATGCCACTGCTGCCAGGGGTGGCAGCCATGGGGGAGGATCCTGGACAGGGATGAGGCCTAGCTGCATGTCCTGAGTCGGGCTTTTGGGGGTCCCAGATTCGCCGCTACAAGGCCAACAAGGAGGTGATGGAGAAGGCTGCGGAAGTCTACACCCGACTCAAGTCAAGGGTCCTGGGACCAAAGATTGAGGCTGTCCAGAAGGCAAACAGAGCTGGTGTGGAGAAGGAGAAGGCTGAGGCGGGGAAAACTGAGGAGACGCTGGCTGGAGAGGAGGCCCCCGTGGAGAAAGCAGGGGATGAGGCGAACGCTGGTGAGGGGCCAGAGGGAGTGGGGCTAGGTGGGCCGGGTTTGCTGGGGCACAGCTGGTGCTCCTCCCCAAGTGGCTGGAGAGGCATGTCCTTGGCACTCTGCACACGCCTGGCTGCGTCCCCAGGGTAGCTAGTGCCTGACACGTGGACGCCTGCTTGGCTCGTAGACTCCAGATCCTCTGAGGTGGACGGTCCGGAGGCTGTGTACATAGGCCCTAAGCCTGTGTGCCCGCCAGGGGTGTGGGCCGGGCGTGGGAGCATCCTCCAGAGAGGGAGTTGGCAGAGGCCTCGGACTGGACCTGGAGGTCTGGGGGGGGGCAGGGGAGGAAGAAGAGAAAGGGTGTCACCGTGCGGGGACAGTGACTGAGCGATGGGAGAGGGGGCCTACCCTCTTGGGGTCACACGTCCCAATGACAGATGTTCAGAGAGCCCCCTGAGACCCAAATTAGGATGGAGTTTGGCTGAGGCCTCAACAGCCAAGGAACAACCCAGAGGGGACATCTCTTACTCTGCCGCAGGCTGGCCTGTTACTGTCCACCCCTTTCAGGGGCACGGGCGCAACTGCCCAGGCCGCGTGGGAACTGACAGTCCTGATGTGAGAGAGGAAGGAGGTGCATGCTAGTGCCCAGGGCTGCATCCTCCAGGAGGGCCTGGTGTCCTTCAGGATCCTTGGCCCAGTGCTAGCTTGCTCACTCAGTAACTTTCAACAGGAAGGATTGTGGGGTCCCAGACAACCCCACAGCATCCTGTGACTCTCCCACCAGATCTCTCAGCCCCCGTGAATGGCGAGGCCACCTCCCAGAAGGGGGAGGAGCCGGAGGACAAGGAACAGGAGGAAGGGCAGACCTCAGAGGAGGGGCCTCGGTGTGGCTCCTCTGAAGACCTGTTACACAACGAGTAAGTATTAGCAGTGACCGTGGGGAGCCATTTCCTAAGAAGGGTGCTGTTCTCCAGGGCAGGCTTGTTCGCGTGAGGGTCCCGCAGACCTCAGCTCCCCCGCCCCACCCTTGGGGGCCTCCCATCCTCCCCACCTTAGCAGCTGATTTCCAGCTCTGAGCTGCCATGGGCCCACCTGGAAGGATGGCTTCTTTGAATGTCTAGAGTAGGCGCAGGTACCACCTCCGCAGCCTGCCGTGCAGCCTCGCAGGAGCCCCTGGTCTTCCAGTGGGCGCATGGCTCCTGCTCACTGCGCTGAGTGTGGTCTGGGGGCAATAGGCCTTAGAGACAGCCGGCCTGCTCACCCCCACCCATGCTGTGCTCTGCCAGCAGCGTAAGGGAGGACCCTGACCTGGATGGGCTGGGGAGCGACCGGCAGGAGCGAGAGAGGGCACGCATGGACTCGGAGTCGCTGGACGATGAGGACAGCTGAACGCTGGCAACCAGGCCCCGCCTGCCACAGACCTTGTAGGCTGCCTGTCTCCTCCCCTCCGCCCAGGGATCAGAGGACTGTTGGAGACGCCATGCTGTTTGTTTGTATTTGTCCCCCTGGGTTTTTTTCTGCCTAATTTCTGTGATTTCCAACCCACATGAAATGACTATAAAGGGTTTTTTTTATGAAAAAAAAATCACTTTTATTGGCTTGGTTTTCTAGCATTAGTGGTGCAGCCAGGCCGGAGCTGGGAACTGTTGCAACTGTCAGGGGCTCTTTCTGGGACAAAGGGTTTTAAATCGTAGGGTCACCATTAATAGTAAATGTGAACTTAATTCTTAACGGTGCTCCCAGCCCAGCTGGCCCAGCCCTAGGCCTGCAGTGCAGGAGGGTGGGGTGGGGAGTAAGACTTTTCCAAAAGTGAAGAGAAATAAAAACCTCTGAACATTGCAGCTCACACAGAGGCTGTGGTTTGACTCTTCCTATGTTTGGTGGCCCAGCGCCCAGGCAGGAAGACCAGAGGTCCGGAGGGCAGGGGTGGCTGAGGCTCCAGTGGTCACTGAGGCAGGGCCGGGACAGTGGAGACCATGCCTTTCCCAGAAGCCTCTGCCTTGCTCCACTGACATGACTTTCCTGTTGCCATCTGGACTCCTAGGCAAGACCCATGGTCCTTAGTAGCCCTAGCCTGACCCAGCCGGGGTGCTGCAGGCTGTCCATTGTCCCCAGTGTTGGAGCTGTGATTGCGAGCAACAGGGACAGGCCTAGCTGTGTGGCCCGGGGCAAGTGGCACTCCCACTCTGGGCCTCTCTCTCTCCTGCATGGGGTTCGACCCCAGGCCTCACGGGGCTGGCATGTGGCTTTAGAAGGGGACATGTGAGTCAGACACCTTGCTTGTTACAACAGTGGCCCTTACTCCCCTGCCTTCCCTGGCCAGATTCCTCCATCCCCACTGAAACAGAGGGACTTCTGAGACTTCTGAGCCCAGGCACCCCCATTTGGTGCAGCTATCTTTGAGGTCAAATCACTGTGCCTGGTTGCTGGGAATGGCTGTCACATAATGGGAGATGAGGAAAGCGAGGCCTGGGGGGTTGCCGGACGTGGCCCCCATGTCACCAGCAGCCCAGCTCTCCCAGTGCAGAGTCCCTCATGACTGTTGGTACCTGTGGTGTCTCTGGGGGAGAGCTGGCCTTCATCCTAGAGCTCGAATGCTGGAGCCTGGTGGGGCACTTCAAGTCCCCCTGATGGGAAATGGTATGACTCGTCTCTGGGAAGTGGGAGCTTGCCGTGGCTCTGCTGCTGGCATTCTGATGGGCAGCTAGTCCCCATTCAAGGATGGGGAGGCCTGGCGAGGGTGTGTGTGAGCATTCTGAGTCTTCACATTTCTGGGGGCCTGAGGCAGCAGGAGGGGGCCCGGACTTCTGGCCTAGCTTCCCCATGCGCTGCCTGCGTGGCAAGACCGCCCTGAGGAGCCAGGGAAAGCACACAGGCAGGAAGGTGCCCCATGGAGTTGCTGGCTACAACCCAGCCCCCATCTCCAGCCTCGAGCACTAACCACGACCCAGGAGCCGTGGTGGTCACACCCACCTAGGGCCTATTTCATGGGTAGCCCAAGCGCCCAAGGGGCCATGGGATGTCAGGTCTGGAAGCATCTTAGCTGATCTCGCCAGGTGAAGGACAGGGTGGAGCAGACAGAGACAGGAAGGGGCTTGTGGGGTAAACCTGCCCCCTGCCCATCTTCAGTCCTCATGTGCCAGGCCAGCCAAAGCCCAGGTTGTCAACAGCCACAGCCACTGCACAGTGCTGCTGGTGACTACCTCAAAAATCTTGGCATCGCGCAGGCACATCTCGAGAGTGTGGGTTCCTGACCACCACATGCAGTTATCATCGCCATAACGTGAGTGATACGAATACTTGGGTTTCCCAGTACATGTAAAAGTCAGTTATACTAAACTGTAGTCTACTAAGCGTGTAATAGCTTATTTCTATAAATAACAGTGCACACACCTTAATTACGTGTGACTCAGAGATGGGAAGGGAGCACATGCCGAGAGAAATGGCGCTGGTAGACTTGTTAGATGCAGGTTGACACAAACCTCCAATTTGTAATAACAATATCCGCAAAGTGCAATAAAGCCAGGTGTGCCTGTAGGGCCTTCTGCACAAGGCTGTGGCACTAAGACTCCATGGTTGCTGTGGGCCAGGAATACTCTGTCAGAGCCAGGGCCGTGCCCTGGAGCCCAGGGTGGAGGAGTAGGACCACCTGTTGCCTGCTAGCAAAGGACCCAGATTGGGGGGCTAGAAGAGTCCCCTAAAGATGAAAGGGTCCCTTAGTGTCAGCACTGACTGGAGAACCTTCTGGGCTGAAGCACACATTTCCACCTTTCCTAATTGAGGCGCTTGCTCTGGGTCTCTTAAGAGAAGGCCCTCAGGAGAGGGGCTCAGGAGAGGGGCTGCTGTGCACAGGGGGCAGGTGCAGGCAGGCCTGGAGCCCAGTGTGGTGTGTGCACAGAGTGACTTCACTCAGAAGGTCCTCCAAGCCCCCATGTAGGGTCCAGAGCTTTGGGGAATCAGAGCTGGTTTGGGGCTGGGGAGGAGTTTCTGAGGGGGGAGCCCTACAGCTGCTGCTCACCAGGGTAGAGAGTAAAGGGCCCCACCAGCCAGCTGAGTGGCGGGCTGTGCTGCAGGCTGTTCAGCACCTCCTCCAGCCCCTGCCACGCCTGGCCCATGCTCTTGCGGCATTGGGCCAGACTCTGAGCCGGCAGCTCGGCGACAGAGCCAGCGGAGGACAGGATGCCGTAGAGCTTGCAGAGGCTGTGCCGAGCCTGCCCCACCTGCTGCTGGAGCTCTGCTGGGAGGCCCTGGAGGCTGGCGGCCAGGGTGCTGTAGGCCACATGGAGCTGCTGGATGAGGCTGCAGGCCCTGGACAGAGCCCCGGCACCTGGCACCTGCAGGAAGAAGGAGTGAGGTGAGCAGGGGTCGTAGGGGAGGAGAGGGGGAACCCTGACCCTCTTGCAGGTACCTCTTGGGGACCAGCTTCCTCCACTTGGCAGCTGGAGCCCTGGTCTGACCATGTCTGCTCTTCAGGAGCCTGCTTGACCTTTTCAATCTGGAAAGAGAGAGCTCAGAGTAATTTTCCCAAAAACTTAGGACTTCTTGGCAGGGACCTCCCCGAGGCAGTGCGAGGGGGGCTGAAGCAGGTTTGCCCAGGCCTGGCCCTGGAGCCTGTGTCCAGACCTCTCTATAGTGGGCTTGATGGACAGGGGACAAGTTTAGAGCTAGCTGCACCACAGTGGGCATGTCACCTCATCTACAGAGGCAATAACCTAAATTCCCATGAGATCGTCAGGGTGATCAAATAACAAATGTCTGTGGGATCAAGTCACTCCTCAGCTCAAAACCCTCCCATGGCTCTCCAGTGCCCTCTGGATAAAATTCTTCCCGTGACCTGTGTGGTCTCCAACCTTGTCTCCACTGACACCCAGATCCATCACTCAAGAGACGCCCCATCACGCGCACTGTTCTGGATTCGTTGTCCCCAGTCTACTCAACATGTTGCTGCCTCAGGGCCTTTGCATGTTCTGCTGCTTAGCCCAGAGCAGCCTTCTGCTGGCCCTTCACAGGATGCCCATGCAGCCTCAGCTCCTGGTTGCCCTGCAGGCCAGGTCTTCTGTACCCACCAGTCTTTGGCCTCCAGTCCCTCCCTGTCACATCTACTGCTCAGTCATGTCACTGGTGAGTTCTCATGGGGTTTCCTTGTTGTTTATTTTCCCCCTTAGGTGGGATCTCTGTCAGGATCTTTTTTTCCTTGATTGTTGGGTCCCTGGCATGTAGGAGCCCCACTCCCCTTCACCCCCATAATCCACTCTTGGTTGTCTTCCTGATAGCTTGTAGAGGGCAGCACGTGGACCAAATGTTGACTCCGAGTGCAGTAGCAGCTCTCACCCCACTGTGGACTCCATCTGGGGGCCCCACCAGTAATGTCCAACTGCCTTGTGCAAAGCCAAGCTCTTGTTCATCACCTAACCTGCCCAGCATCCCCTAGTGCCCCTGCTTTCCTCAGGTTAAAAAACCACTGAGACCTCTTGGGGTTTTCTCTCTCACCTCCCACATGTAACTAGCTACAGATGCGGACAGCTCTGCTTTGGGGACACATCCAGAATCCAAGAGCCTGTCACTGCTGCCAGTGTGCATCCAGAGGTCCTGTCACTTGCCAGGATTTGTACACCTGATTTGACATTTGACCCGCTGACCCGTGCTCCCCACAGCCAGGGCGATCTCCGCTAGGAAAACGTATGCTAGGTTAGGCCGCTCCTTGACTCACGGTCCTGGGCACTGTGGCTGTCGAGCAGCATCCCTGGCCCCCACCCTCTCAATGCCAGCACACCCCAGACATTGCCCCAGTGTTGCCTGGGGGCAGGGTCACCCTTGGGTGAGCCCCTCTGGGTTAGGGTATCTCACTGACCCCAGGAGACTGTTCTATCACCATCTGACCTCCTGCAGCCTTGGGACACTGTAGACACTTAAATAGACACTAAGTTGGGGGATGAGGGGGTGACTCCCAAATGTATAAACCAGGGTGGCCCCTTAACCTAATGGATCCATTCTGGTGGCTAGGGTGAGCTAGGGATCTACTCACTTTCCCCAAATAGTTACCCCAGGGTTTCTCCCTGGCACTGTGGACACCAGAGACTGGGTCATTCTCTGTGGGGGCCATCCTGAGAACCCAGTAGAACATCCCCGGCCCTCACCCACTTGATGACAGTTGTGACAACCACACACTTGTCATTCAGACAGTGCCCAGTGTCCTCTGGGTTGCAGCAGTGGTCCTCAAACTGCTGTTGATCACAGACCCCTGGGGCGCTGCTTGGAAACGTGCCGGGTGCTCCCCAGGACCCGGGTTCAGGCAGCACCTCCTTGACCTTTACCAAGGGCTTCTGTACACCAACATCTAAGACTCCTAACTCGGAAAACTTGGGGGTCCTCAGAACTGAGGGTCTGTCACCAGCCACACCAGCCACACCAGGGGTGCTGCCAACTCCCTGCCGAGGCAGCCCTGCACAGGGAATGCCACTTCTCATGAGTTCACAGCAATGAGCGTGGGTTGTATGTGATGGAGAAGGCTGGGGTGGGGGTTCCGTGACTGGCCCAGGAGCAGACTGGCACTGTCTGCCAGGGGCTCACTGAGCACAGTCGTGTCGCTTAACGACAGGCACACATTTGGAGAAATGCACCTGGGGAGGTTACGTTTTTGCGTGAAGGGTGTAGCGAGTGGCGGCGCGGCCTAGCTGGGTCAGCCGCTCGCGCCTGCGTGGTCCAGCGAGGCCGCTACCGTGTCAGCCACAGGTTCCCGGGCACTGCGACTTTCTGTGAGACAAAGTATCATGAAAGCAGGTCCTCGAATAACATTGTGGCCACAGCTTGTCAAGCGTCGCTGGGATTTTTGTTTCTCCTCAATGTTATCACTAAATGACATTGAAAAAGTGGTGTTATCTGAAGACCTGCTGTTGCCTTGTCGTGCCAATATAGCCCAACTCACGCAGGGGCTACAACTGTATTTTAAAAAGTCCACGTGATCTTTTAGGTTAAATCTAAGTCGCCTGACGACAGGGACTCTTCTGGGAAATGCACCTTTGGGTGATTTTGTCATCACCGTGAGTAGCGTGTAGCCTCACTTTCCTTGATGGTAGAGCCCGCCCCACCCCCAGGCGAGATGGGACCGCCTGTGGAGACCGCGGTCACAGGTGCACTGTGTCGGCTGAACGGTCACTCGGTGACGCCTGACTGTATTTGTCTCATCACTGTTCCCCCAGGGTGCCTGGGGACGAGAAGCCTCTTACCAGCTGGAAGGAGTCTTCGAGCTGGGCCAGTGTGGCCCTGGCCTGGAACTGTCCGTGCTGCAGGTGACTCAGGGTGTGCTCAAAAGCCCGCTGACGGAAGCTCGGCGCCAAGTCACCTAGTCTCACGAAGTAGCTGCCCTGGTCGGCTGAGAACACCCTGGGCGCAGGCTCGGAGGCAGCCAGCCGGGCTGGAAAGGAAGACAGAATCACTCGATCCAGGAATAAACCGCTCCCCGCACCCACTCTGGGTAACCAGGGCTTGGGTTTTATAGAGCTCAGCCCCACACCGAGACCCTGTCTGCCCGTCTGGTCTCACCTTGCTCCTGGACAGTCATGGGCTGGAAGATTTCCCCCACTTCCTCCAACTCGCCCCGGAGGGCCACTGCGTCCACAGTTTCCGTGGGGCAGCGCGTGGTGGCTGTGTGCTCCACCGCATCTCCGCCCAGCGAGGCTCCTTGGGGCGATGTCCCCACAGAAGGCACAAGGCCCTGATTGCCCTCCATGGCTTCCCCAGCAAGGACCAGGCTTGCACATGGTATGTCTGAGAAACCAGAGACTCCAGAGGAAGGAGCATCCCAAGGAAGCAGGCCAGTCTGTGCCCCTCCTTGGCTTGGGGCCCTGTAGCTAGTATGGACGCCCACTACTGTGTCCTGGGAAGTTGGCAGCCAATTCTGGATGGTGCCCAGACCACTTTGGGCAGCCCCTTTGGCCATATTCCCCACCCCGGTGAGCCCAGTGACCATAGCATCTTTAGTGCCAGTCAGGACGGTCTTGGTGGTATCCAGGGTCCCCTCAACAGCCCCTTTGGCCACATCCATGGTGCCCATCACCCCACTGCACACGGTGTTCTTTGTGCCTGTCGCGATGTTTTGGGTGGTGTTCAGCCCAGTTTGCATGGCCCCCTTGGCCACATTCACAGCACTGGAGAGCCCAGTGGACACTGCATCTTTGGTGTTGGTCAGGATGGTCTTGGTGGTGTCCATGCCGGTCTGGACAGTCCCCTTGGCCATGTTCATTGCCCCAGTGATCCCAGTGGACATGACATCTTTAGTGCCTGTAACAACAGCCTTCGAGGTGTCCAGGCCCCCCTGAATGGCCCCTTTGGCCACATTCATTGTGCCCATCACCCCACTGCACATGGTGTCCCTCGTGCCTGTAGCGATATTTTGGGTTGTGTTCAGTCCAGTTTGCACGGCCCCTTTGGCCACATTGACAGCACCGGTCACCCCACTGCACACGGTGTCCTTGGTGCCCGTCAGGACGGTCTTGGTGGTGTCCACCCCAGTCTGGACGGTGCCCTTGGCCAAGTTCACTGCCCCAGAGAGCCCAGTGGACACTGCATCTTTGGTGCCTGTCAGGACTGTCTTTGAGGTGTCCAGACCCCCCTGGACAGCTCCTTTGGCCACGTTCATGGCACTGGTCACCCCACTGCACACGGTGTCCTTGGTGCCTGTGGCGATATTTTGGGTCGTGTTCAGGCCAGTTTGCACGGCCCCTTTGGCCACGTTCATGGCACCAGTGAGTCCAGTGGACACTGTATCTTTGGTGCCCGTCAGGATGACCTTGGACGTGTCAAGACCCCCTTGGACGGCCCCCTTAGCCATACCAATTGCCCCGGTGAGCCCAGTGGACACGGCATCCTTGGTGCCTGTAACTACATTCTTGGTGGTGTCTAGTCCTCCCTGGACGGCCCCTTTGGCCACATTCATGGCACCAGTCACCCCACTGCACACAGTGTCCTTGGTGCCAGTCAGGACAGTCTTGGTGGTGTCCATGCCAGTCTGGACAGTGCCCTTGGCCATGTTCATTGCCCCCGAGAGTCCTGTAGACACTGTGTCCTTTGTGCCCATCAGGACAGTCTTTGAGGTGTCCAGGCCCCCCTGGACGGCTCCTTTGGCCACATTCATTGCTCCTGTCACCCCGCTGCACACGGTGTCCTTGGTGCCTGTGGCGATATTTTGGGTTGTGTTCAGGCCAGTTTGCACGGCCCCTTTGGCCACATTCATGGCACCAGTGAGTCCAGTGGACACTGTGTCTTTGGTGCCTGTCAGGATGACCTTGGACGTGTCAAGACCCCCTTGGACGGCCCCCTTAGCCATACCAATTGCCCCGGTAAGCCCAGTGGACACGGCATCTTTGGTGCCCGTCAGGACTGTCTTTGAGGTGTCCAGGCCCCCCTGGACGGCTCCTTTGGCGACATTCATGGCGCCAGTCACCCCACTGCACACGGTGTCCTTGGTGCCTGTGGCAATGGTCTTGGTGGTGTCCATGCCAGTTTGTATGGTGCCCTTAGCCACACCCAGGGCCCCGGTGAGTCCAGTGGACACGACATCCTTGGTGCCTGTCAGCACAGTCTTAGTGGTGTCCAGACCTCCCTGAATGGCCCCTTTGGCTACATTCATGGTGCCTGTCATCCCACTGCACACGGTGTCCTTGGTGCCTGTGGCGATATTTTGGGTCATACTCAGTCCAGTTTGCACGGCCCCTTTGGCCACATTGACAGCACCGGTCACCCCACTGCACACATTGTCCTTGGTGCCCGTCAGGACGGTCTTGGTGGTGTCCACCCCAGTCTGGACGGTGCCCTTGGCCAAGTTCACTGCCCCAGAGAGCCCAGTGGACACTGCATCTTTGGTGCCTGTCAGGACTGTCTTTGAGGTGTCCAGACCCCCCTGGACGGCTCCTTTGGCCACGTTCATGGCACTGGTCACCCCACTGCACACGGTGTCCTTGGTGCCTGTGGCGATATTTTGGGTCGTGTTCAGGCCAGTTTGCACGGCCCCTTTGGCCACGTTCATGGCACCAGTGAGTCCAGTGGACACTGTGTCTTTGGTGCCCGTCAGGATGACCTTGGACGTGTCAAGACCCCCTTGGACGGCCCCCTTAGCCATACCAATTGCCCCGGTGAGCCCAGTGGACACGGCATCCTTGGTGCCTGTAACTACATTCTTGGTGGTGTCTAGTCCTCCCTGGACGGCCCCTTTGGCCACATTCATGGCACCAGTCACCCCACTGCACACAGTGTCCTTGGTGCCTGTGGCGATATTTTGGGTCATATTCAGCCCAGTTTGCACAGCGCCTTTGGCCACATTCACTGCCCCAGAGAGCCCAGTGGACACGGCATCCTTGGTGCCTGTGACTACATTCTTGGTGGTGTCCAGTCCTCCCTGGACGGCCCCTTTGGCCACATTCATGGCACCAGTCACCCCACTGCACACAGTGTCCTTGGTGCCAGTCAGGACAGTCTTGGTGGTGTCCATGCCAGTCTGGACAGTGCCCTTGGCCATGTTCATTGCCCCCGAGAGTCCTGTAGACACTGTGTCCTTCGTGCCCATCAGGACAGTCTTTGAGGTGTCCAGGCCCCCCTGGACGGCTCCTTTGGCCACATTCATTGCTCCTGTCACCCCGCTGCACACGGTGTCTTTGGTGCCAGTGAGGACAGTCTTGGTGGTGTCCATGCCAGTCTGGACGGTGCCCTTGGCCAAGTTTACTGCCCCAGAGAGCCCAGTGGACACGGCATCCTTGGTGCCTGTGACTACACTTTGGTGGTGTCCAGTCCTCCTTGGACGGCCCCTTTGGCCACATTCATGGCACCAGTCACCCCACTGCACACAGTGTCCTTGGTGCCAGTGAGGACAGTCTTGGTGGTGTCCATGCCAGTCTGGACGGTGCCCTTGGCCATGTTCACTGCCCCAGAGAGCCCAGTGGACACGGCATCCTTGGTGCCTGTGACTACATTCTTGGTGGTGTCCAGTCCTCCCTGGACTGCCCCTTTGGCCACATTCATGGCACTGGTCACCCCACTGCACACAGTGTCCTTGGTGCCAGTCAGGACCGTCTTGGTGGTGTCCATGCCAGTCTGGACGGTGCCCTTGGCCATGTTCACTGCCCCTGAGAGCCCAGTGGACACTGTATCCTTGGTGCCCATGACTACACTCTTGGTGGTTTCCAGGCCCCCCTGGATGGTCCCTTTGGCCACATTCATGGCCCCGGTCACCCCACTGCACACAGTGTCCTTGGTGCCTGTCAGGACGGTCTTGGAGGTATCCACACCTGTCTGGACAGTGCCCTTGGCCAAGTTCACTGCCCCAGTGAGCCCAGTGGACACGGCATCCTTGGTGCCCGTGACTACAGTCTTGGTGGTGTCCAGGCCCCCCTGGACGGCTCCTTTGGCCGCATTAACAGCACCAGTCACCCCACTGCACACGGTGTCCTTGGTGCCAGTCAGGATGGTCTTGGTGGTGTCCACACCGGTCTGAACAGCTCCTGTGGCCATGCCTACTGCACCCGTGACCCCGCTGGTCACAGTCTCCTTGGTGCCAGCCAATACGGACTGGGTCATGTCCAGCCCACCTTGAACCACGCCTTTAGCTGCATCCATCACACTGGCCACCCCAGAGGAGACGGTGTTCTTGGTTTTAGTCGCCTTGGAGCACACCAGGTCCTTTGTTCCAGAAGTCATCTGATGAGAAAGGACGTCTGTGGTCAGGGGACAGCTGGGGGCGCCCTAGTGTGCCTTGGGGAGATGGACCTTCATCCGGAGGTCCCCCCTCCCCCAGACATCATCCCCTGTCACTTTTCTCTAGCCTTGGGTTGGTCCCCCTGACTTTCTAGGACACCCCTAACAAACGGACACAGTGCCACAGGATTCCCTTCACCTCATTCCCACCTCTGGATTCAATAGAGCCCCGTCGGTGACACCAGGTCCCTAATACCTGGCCCCCTGCGCAGTTCCCTCCACCTGGGACATCAGCACGGTCATTCAATGACGTGTTTTTTGTTCATCTGGCCTACTCTCTAGTGGTGGCCGGCTTTGAGCTTGGTGTCCCCAGTCACAGCGTGGGAAACGAATGGCTTATTAAAATGATGACATTCAAGTAAGAGAAGAGGATCACATTTAGGAATAAGCAGAAAAGCACTGGCACAGGTCTGAGGCTAGAACCCTCAGAAATTATTGAAAACTTCAAGAATGTTTTCCCTATCAAAGGGCAGTTTCATCTAGCTCCACTATACTCCCAAAGGGCTGTGATGGCTCAGAGTGGTCCCTGCTCAGGGTCCCCCAGGGAGTGCGCCATTTTTAACTCAGCGTGGCACCAGGGTGATGCTGCCTCCCAGGGGACACTTGTCAGAGGCTAGGTACGTTTGTGGTTGTCATGAGTTGAGGGTATGGGGCTACTGACCCCCTGAGGTCAGGGGTCCTCTCAACACCTCACAGTGCCCAAGGATGGACCCCATAACCAAGAATGATCGGACTCATGTGGCCACTTTACTGAAGTGGAGAAGCACCGACATTTCGCTGGCTGCCTCCTGTCCGGCTTCATCTCCAGGAGGTGTCTCGGGCTCTGTGCCTGCAGAGACAGGGCCTGAGTCCCAGGTCTTTCCCACGTTTGCTGTGTGACCTCAGGCAAGCCACATCCCTCTCTGAACCTCATCCCAAAACAGTGGTTAAGGCAGCACCTCCTTCAAGGGTTGTGGAGAAAATGGATCCAGGTGCCTGGAGCACTGTGCAAGTAGTAGGTGCTCAATTAACGCCCGTGAAGAGGCGCAGAGAAAGTATCAGGACACTGCACTGTCTTACCTCAGCCCCTTCACTTGGCCTGGTCTTTGGGACATGATAATATGGTGATCTGGGACTGAGGGTGGATATAGCTCTGGTGATGGTTCACTGTCTGACTGCCCGAGGTTCAAACGCCATGCTGTGTGACCTTCTGCAGGCTCTGCTTCTCGGTGCTCTAGCTATCGGTGGGGTTCTATGGTTCCCTTCCTCACAGGCAGCTGGGAGGATTACCTGGCAATCAGCACTAATAAAGAACTTAGCCCAGAGCCTGTGAATTACTGTCGTTTTGGTGGCTAGACTGGGCACAGAGCTAGGGCTCTTGAGGACTATTGGGAGCCTTACTGTACCCATTTCACAGATGTAAAAACAGAGGCTCAGAGGACCCTCCTGGAATCCCATAGCAGCCATCCAAAGGGCATCCACCCTCTCCATGACCTGTGCCACCCCCTCAGGCAGCTGGCATTGCACCATCCTGGGAAGCCTCTCGCCCACCCTAGAAGCAAAGCCATCACCCCAGACTCTGCCAGCCCCTCTCACCTTGTCTGAAGGCGGCAGCAGCTTCTCCGCCTCACTGGCTCTCTGCTCCCCGCCAGTGGCTGCTGTAGGGACAGGAAGCAGTCAGGCACCCCAGAGAGGACAAGGGACTCAGGCTGGCATGAGCTGCCCTGGCGCCCGTTGTGCAATTGCTGGGCACAGCTCGAAAGGTCAGGAATGTCCCAGCCACCCTGCCAGGGACAGCGGGAGGTGACATGCACAGCCCTGAGCCAGGGTTAGCCAGAGCCCTGGGGGCTCCCTGGACCTCCCAGGGGCTTTGGTTCCCTGGAACCCAGGCTGGGGGTGGGGGCGTGAGGGGGCTGTCTCTGGGGTGTTCTCTGCTTGGGTCCTGAGTGCTGGATGTCCACTTGGGGAAGGGTGCAGGGAGAGGATTCAGAGTCTGAGGGGGTTCTAGGGCTGAAGGGAGTTCTCGACAGGCCTCCCCCACTACCTGAGTTTGGGGCCCAAGCAGTCTGGGGAGGTGGGGGCAGCCCCCACACTGCCCTGCCTGCCCCACCCCACCACTCTGGCACCTGCCTGTCCAGGCAGGTATGTGCAGCAGAAATCAGCTGCCTGGGGCTCTGGGCCCAGAGCGAGGCACTGCCCAGGCAGTGGTCCCCACCCTGGGCTCTCTGGCCTGCCTCTCTGGGTGACCCAGGGCTAGTACCCCAGCTTTGAAACTGGAGGTGGGGAGCCCCTCAGGCTAGAAGAAACCAGGGAGGCTGCTGCCTCTCTGTGGGTACCAGGGTTGTAAACCTCAGTCCCCGAGAAGCTGAGACAAGCAGAGTCCCTGACAATCCTCTGGGGTCACTGCTCTCCCCATCACGGGGTATCAGACAAGGTGGTGGGGGGTGTTACAGGAAGATAGGCTATGTTCACACCCCCACTCTTGCTGCTGAGCAATCTTGGGCCACTCCCCCAAATATCCATGCCTCAGCTTCCCCATCTGGCACTAAATGATCATGCCAACCTGATAGTGTCAATGAGGTGAGGCAGGCCTACAGGAAGCACCCTAAAAATGACCAGGAGTCCCTGCTAGGGGATTTCCTTTAACTGGGGTCTACCTCTGGAGCCCCGCCCCAACACACACACACAGAGTTGTTCACTTACCCTGAGCCTGGGGCTGGGCGGCCTCAGGGGTGGTGCCAGGCTGGGCCTCTTTCGCTGAGCTGTAGGCGTTGGCCACTAGGTTCCGTGCAGAACTGAAGCCAGGCAGGGACCCGAAGAAGCTGCTGAGCTACGGGGGGCGAGGGTGCAGCATGAGCGCAGCCAGAGTGCAGCAGGGGCAGGGAGGGAGGAGCCCCCTCCCCCCGGGGGACTGCAGGGGCCTCCCCGGCCAGCAAGCAGAGCCAGGCTTCGCTCATGGGCAGAGAAAAAGGTCGTCTTCCAGGTTTCCAAAGACCTTTTCCTCCCACAGGCCCCATTTCACAGATGGGGAAACTGAGGCTCTGAGAGGGCCTGTGGCTGGCCCAAAGTCACAGGGCGGGGACGATGCCGAACTCTGCGCGAGTGCCCCCTGGGGAACGGAGGGGAGAGCTGGTGGCGCTGTGGCTTCCACCCGGGAAGGCTCTCTTCACACCCCGGGACACTGGAGGTCACCTTCCCAAGGTTCTGGGGGATCTCCAGGCTCCGGCAGGGATCTCCCCCTCCCACTCCTCTCTTTACCTTGCTCTTCGCCTTGGGGGGGCCCCGGCCCCCTTCCTTTTGGGCAGACATGGTCACACGCTACGCAGCTGGAAGGGAACAGAAAGGGTATGCGAACAGAGCCCTCTGGGCTCCTGCCCCCGCCCTCACCCCTTCTCAGCTTGAGCTGCCCCCTGACACCCACCTGAGGCCTGGTCTCACCCTGACATTCCTCACCTGGCCTGTGTGAGGGTCCCTCAGAGATGGCGGTGCAGCTGCCAGCGGCTCTGCTCTACTCCCTGGCCTTATAGGGTCTGGGGCAGGCTAGAGCCTCGCCAGCAGAGGCAGGCGGCCAGGGAGCGGGGGAGGGCCCAGGCCGTCACGTGTCCGCCTGCCTGGCCCAGCACGGGCCCTGGCCCAGCACCTTTCCCCTGCTCTCAGGATGGGCAACCTCTGCCCACGGTAGCCACCCCCACCAGGCTGTGTGATTCACAGGCCATCCTGTACCCCGAGGCACTGCCCAGAGGTCCTCTCGGCTTCTAGTTTCCATCTGTGAGTTGGACGCACTCCAAATTCTGACTTTACTGGGATGCCTTGACTAGTTAGCATTCCTGTGCCTCAGTTTCTCCCTCACTGTAGACTCCTCACTGTAACCCACAGGCCCTACTTCTCTGCCCTTACTTCCTCCTTCTCTTAAGCCAACACCCCATTCCAGTCACTTGGGCCCCCCAGGTTGTTCCTCCAAATCTTCAGATGCCATCAGCCTCAGGGACTTTGCACAGGCGATTCCTCGCCATGGAGCTCTCTTCCCTAGACACCCACACAACTCCCTTCCTCACCTCTGCCTCACTCAGGCCTGTTTTGTTCCCTGCTGTGTCCCCTGCAACAGAACAGTCAGCACCTAATGTTTGGGTAAGTGGGCCAACTCACAGGGTGGTTGTGAGCAAGGAATGAGGTCACGCATGTGATGTTTACCCCAGTGCCTGTTACCCACACATGTTAACTTAGCTTTGTCCCAGCAAAAAAAAAAAAAAAAAAAAAGGGATATGTCCCCAGCAGGGAGAGATCCGACACTCTCCAGAGGGGACTTTCCTCAAGAAAGGACTGAAATGCATACCCAGCCAGGGCACCCACATTGCTGAGGCACCCTAGGAGTGAGACCCAGAGCCGGTGGGTTTGAGTCAATCCAAGGAGGCTTCCTGGAGGAAGCATCCTGAGGCAGAGGACGCTCAGTCGGGAAGAGGCAGAGACAGGTTCCAAACCCAGACATGAAACCTGTGCGCCCATTTGGCTGGCAGTGGGTGGGTGTGTAGACAAGCAGAGGACTGACCAGAAGACAAGACTGTTTCCCCCTGCCAGTCCCTGGAGCAAGGATCGCAGCTGCACGCCAGTGGGGGTGGGGATAGACCAGTTCCAGTTCCTGGCTGATCTGGGAGGAGGAAAGTTTCAACCTTGGGCCTGCATGCTGCCTGGGCTGTCTCCTTGGAGTCATCACTGTGTTTGCCAAACAGTTGAGGAACAAAAGGGGGGGTTCCCCCAACCTCTCTCCTCTCAGTCAGCACTTCCCAAAGGTGGTAGGGGGAGGGGACAGCCTTGGGTGTGCCGCTCCCTTCCCTGAGGGACTGCGCAGCACAGCTGGGGGGTGGTGGGGAAGGCCAGCAAAAACAATAAATATGTTCATAAACACCCTCTTCTCTCCACAGCCCTCCAGGGCTCCCACCTCCCTTGGGATAAAACCCCAAGTCCTCTCTGCTGCCCACAAGACCCTGCGTGACCTGGCCCATCCCTCCCTGTCCTCACCTCCTCCCTCTCTTCCCCAAGCTCACTCTGTGCCAGCCACATGGGCCTCCTTGCTGGTCCTGTCACCTGGCCGGCATGGTCCTGCCCCAGGACATTTGCACTGGCTATGCCCTCTGCCTAGAGCATTCTTTCTTAAACTCCTCACCTCCTTCAAGGTTTTTGCTCAAATGTTACCTCTTCAAAGAACCCTTCCTTGCCCTATCTCCTGTGTATAAATAAACGACCAGCCTCGTATGGCCTCTCTCCACCTCTGTCCTCTTCATTTCCTCATGATCTACTAACACAGAGATATTTTTTTCTTGTCTGTTGTCTGTCTCTCCTGAATTATAAGGCTCTGCAGGGCAGGGTTTTCATCTGTTTTGCCTGGTGCTGTGTTCCCAAGGCAGGGAACTGCGTGGCACCCCGTAGGCATTCAGTGAATATTTGTGAAGTGAACAGAAGCATGAACACTAGCGTCCATGGGTGAAGTGTTTACTAGGATTGGTACAACTGCCTAAAGGCTTTCAGACCCATGTCACAGAGAAGAAAATGGGTTCAGAGCGGGAAAGTCACTTGCCCACCCCATTGAAGGCAAGCTTTGGATTCAAACCCAGAAACTTAACTACTGCTCTTCCCAGATTCCATGACTTAGCTCAACCCACCCTCTTTCTCCTCCATGCCAGCCCTCTCCCACGCTTTTGACTGAACCAGTCCCTCTGCCAAAATGTCCTTCCTCTGTGTGGCTCTGCCATGCTCACCTGGCCCAGCTCTCCAGGAGACCGAGCATTGTGGGAGAAGAAAAGGCAAGGCTGCTGGAAGCCAAGTGAAAAGGACTTGGAGCCCAGAAGGTAGATGGTAGAAGGTAGGATGTATCCTGCTACTGTAGAGTCAGGGAAGGCTTCCTGAAGGAGGTGGCATTAGTGCTGGGGCTGGAGAATGATGGATGTGCCTGAGATATGGGTGGGAGAGTGGGAAGGGCATTTTATTTATTTATTTATTTTATATTAAGATTTATTTATTTGTTTATACAAGCACTGGGTACAGTCAGAAGCGCGGGAGGGTGAGAGAATTCACCAGAGCCAGAGCGGGGAGCAGAGCAGGCAGAAGGACCGAAGTACACTGCTGAGGGGAGCAGCGGGCGGCAGGAGAGGTCTGCGCACCATGTGGGACCCTCGCTGGCGGCCAGGGATCCAACTGGTGCTGCAGAGGCTGCGGGCAGCTTCGCAGCCCAGTGCTCAACTGCTGTGCCACCAGGGAGAGGGAAGGGCATTTTAGACACAATTTGAGCAAAGGCCCCAGGGTAGGGGGTGGTGCACAGTTCACTGGGCGTCCTCTGCAGTGTCGGTGCAGAGGATCCTTCAAAGTCAGAGGCCCTTAAACACCGGGGTGTGGAACTTGGATGTTTGGTCTGAGGGCAACAGGGAGCAGAAATACAGAAATAAATTTCCTGAGCAGGGGCAGGGAGGGGACTGGCAGCAGGCAGCAGTTGGGGTCCCAGAGCCGCCTCTGGGCTGGGTCCCAGAGAAGCCAGGGGCCACCCTGACCTCACCACATCAGGCTGTGGTTTCTTCACACCCTGAGTGGCCACAAGCAAGGTTGAGTGGTAGCCAAGAATGTAGTCAGAGGACAAGAGGGCTCCCATGAGACCAGCCCATGGCCTTTGCCCGCCTCTGTCTTCCCCATCCTGACCAGTACAGCTGGAGAAACCATAGCAAGGCCAGTCTGCAGTGATGTGGGCATAGGAGGGATTGCCCTGTCTGACTTCTTCCTCCTTCTTATACTACTCCATACAAGTTCCAAGAAATTCATTTATACTAAAGTGTGAACAGCTTCCACTGCAGGAAGTTACGTCTGAAGAAGCAATGCTTATCAGGGGGACTGAGTGCTACGGTGGAACCTAGGCAGGATGACAAGCTGATCAGAGAAGCATCGTTTCTTTCAAACCTCGAACCCTGGCTTGTACCATTCAGTACATACAGCTGAGACCCACCCGGGATGGAACAGAGGCCATGGGCCTTTGGACAATACGAAGCACCTTTATTTTTGAGAGAACCCAAACGACAAAGCAAGTAGTTCTGGCAGCCAAACTGGTACAGTCAGGTGTCTTTGGGGACCCTTAGTCCAGATGTACAGGCAGAAGAGGTGGTGGGCACTCACTTTTCAGGAACCAGTGGGCAAATGTGTGTTTTGCAGGGGAGTTCTGATCAGTGTCTTGGGGTAGGGGAATAGGACCCCAGAGAGATGAACCCACCTCTGGACTAGTCAGATTGAGTTTGGGTTCAGGTCCCCATATGTCCAAAGATGGGGGGAGGATCTCAGATCAGCAGAGTCCCCAAGTCCCCTGCTCAGTGCCTGGGCTATCAGTGCTTACGCACTGCCACTAGGGGGCTCAGAGATCCTGAGGTGCAAGGCAGCTCTGCTGGTGGCCCCTTGTGGTCAGAAGTCCAGCTCTGGCATCAGGGTGTGCTTGGGGCGGGGTGGTTCGGGCTCCTCCTCAGGAGTGTCCTCAGGAAGACTCGTCCCATCCCCCCCATGCTGGGCCTCCCAGGCTCTCTGCTGGCCTGGCCAGTCCAGATGTGCCCAGCGGGGGTCTGGGCCTCCAACCACCTCATCCACCCAGGCTGCCAGGTTTGGGGGTGTCGCCGACCGCTCCATGAGGATAGGCGAGAAGGGCCCGACGAGCCAGGGCAGAGGCATGGCCTGCACCACCAGCTCCAGCAGCTCGTCCACGCAGGCGTGGGCCCGGGCCATGCTGCCCCGGCCTTCAGCCAGAGCCGCTGCGGGCACGTCTCTGAAGCAGCGGGCATCAGCGAAGGCCACCTGCAGGGCATCCACGCTGCGCCGCACCTCGGCCACCTTCTCCTGGGCACTGGGGGGCAAGCCCCGCACGCTGGACTCCAGCACGTCCACGGTGCTCTGTAGCTCCCGCATCAGACTGCGGGACAACACCAATGTCTCCAGCTCTGCCTGCAAAGGGAGGGCACCAGACCATCACCCTGCCTCAGTTTCCCCTTGAGCGCACAGCAGTACCATCACCCTGCCTCAGTTTCCCCTTGAGCACCCAGCGGTACCATCATCCTGCCTCAGTTTCTACCACAGACACACAACAGAACTGTCAGCTTCCTTAGTTTCCCTGTGGTCACTCAACAGAACCGCTGACCCGCCTCTGTTTCCCTACAGACACCCGTGGAACTGTCCCGGACTTGGGTTTCCCCAGCAGACCAACTTCTGGGGCTATTGACATGCCTCCATCTTCCCAGGGACATCCAGCTGGACCACTGTCCTGCTTCAGTTTCCCTGTGAGCAGGACCAGCTCCCTGCCCCAGGGACTGGCTCCCTGCATCACTTTGCCTCACTTTGCCTGTAGTGACAGGCCCAATTTCCCCCAAGGACATTCCAGCCAGCTGACCTCAGCACATGATTTGAGACAGCTCAAGCCTGGCCTCTGGCCTCCCCGGGTCTCCCCCATCCTTGCACCCTCCTCTACCTGTCTGCGGTTCCGGCCGTTCTTGGGGGGGCGCTGGCTCCAGACTTCCCACAGCTCATGCACCTTCCCAGGGTGGGCTGGGGCAGTGGGGGTCGCCCCGCACTGCATGAGGTCGATCTGGAGGGGTGAAGGCAATGGTTATCAGGGCTGGTAGTTTGCGCACGAGGGGGACAAGGTTTGGCTCTAGCCTGGATCTACCCTTAATGGCATTTAGTGTACACGTTCCTGTACGAAAGCTTCCAGGCCTGCTGATCCTGCTTAGTCACCTTCTCATTCTCTCCTCTTACCTCTGTCACCTGTGGCCCACAGCTCCCTGGAAGCTCTGACTCACAGCCAGGCCTTTGCCCATGCTGACCCCTCTGCCAGGTACAATCTTCTCTCCACCCTATACCCCTGCCTGCTTCACACCAATTCAAGTATCAGTGTAGATGTCATCTCCTCCAGGAAGCCTTCCTTCCTTCGCTTCTAGCTAAGCAGGTTTCTCCTACGGGATCCACAGCACCAGACCTGTTCCCATCATGACCCTGCTCCCCCTACTGGACTGTGAGTGTCCTGAGGGGGCCACTGCACCTCCCGTGCCCAGAACAGGGCAGGTTTGAGAAGATGAATTGTGACCCAGTCCTATTGTGGAATATGCCTCAGCATAAAAAGGAAGGACATCCTGACACAAGCTATAGCCTTGAGCACATGACGCTCAGAGAAATAAGCCAGGCACAAGGACAAATCCTGTGTGATCCGCTGGCGGGAGGGCCCCAGTGGAGCCACAATCACAGGGACGGGAAGGCGTGGTGGTGCCACGGGCTGGGGGAGGGAAGGGGAGTTGGTGTGTAGGTGTCAGTTTGGGAAGATGAGAAAGTTCTGGATGGCAGGGGTGGCTGCTCCACGGTGTGAATGTGGTTAATGCCTTGGAGCTGTGGACTTAAAAATGGTTCAGCTGCTGAGTTATGTAAGTGTGTTATGTCTCTTCCGTCTCTCACAGCAGCAGAAAACGGGGCACGCAGCGCCGATGTGAGCACCTATTGCTCCCTAGTGTGTAAAGTGAGCGACTTGGTGCTGAGGCGCCCGGGCTCTGGAGTCCTCGCGTGGGGCAGGGGCTGCGAGGGCCGGGCGGGGCCCTGACGGCTCATCGCAGCAAGCCCTCGGCAAATGTCCGAGGCAGGATGAGCAGGACAGCTCGGCCCTCGCGATTAATTATTAGTGCAGAGGGGCACACACAGTGAACCGTAAAACAAGCCGATCACAGGGTTTTTGTAAACAAAATGCATGGACAATAAAGTGTGTCGAGCAGAGGCCACAGTCCACGCAGAAACTCCTGGGGCAGGATTGTGCTTGGCGTATTGAAAGGCCAATGGGCTTGTGGAGCTGGAGAAAAGCGAGGGAGAGGGCGGAGGTGGGGTCAGGGAGGGTGTGGGAGGGGGTTCAGGGCATGGGGGGGACTTAGGTTTTTATCTGGAGGGAATCCGGAGCCCTGGAGGAGCCGCAGAGGGGCAGGACCTGCTTGCGCGCTCCCCGGCGCCCTCTGGTGGCCACTACAAGGACTAACTGCGGGCTGTGAGGACAGAGCCGGAGTCGGGAAGGATCCCCACCCCCCACCCTACCCACACCCCGCAGTGGAAGAGATAGAAGGCAGAGCTGGCAGTACTGACTGGGGTGTCCGGTGGGGAAGGCAAGAGGGCAGTTGAGGATGATTCCCAGGCTTGGGTCTGAGCTCCTAGAAGGACGGAGGTCAGTGAGATAGGACTTGGGGGTGAGGGAGGAGCAGGTGGGGGGCATCTGGACTCATCACGCTCAGTAAACAGGAGCTGCTCCATCCCACTGGAGCCGGGAGGGGCGGGCAGTGGGAGATGTGTGTGAGCTGGACCCCAAAGGATGGAGAGGACCGGGCTTGGTGGTGGCAGGGCAAGGAAGAGGGGCCGTCTCTTTTCCGGATCCCCTGAACTGACTATAGTCCCAGCTCCTACTTCCCCTCCTCAACAGAAACCCCTTCCTGACTCCTTAGGCTGAGCTTTGACCCAGCCCCGGCCTGGCCTGTCAGAGCCTGAAGCTGTGGCACCTCGCTCTGCCTCCCCCCATCGGACGAGCACAGGGCGGGTGCTCCGCTGGCCCTCCGTCCATGCTTAGCGGCTGGCATCAGAGTCAGGGGCAGGCAGAGGGCGCTCACCAGCTCCAGGGCCTCCTGCAGCTGGGCCATTGTGTCCTGGGCGTGGTGTTTCCGTTGCCTCAGTTTCCCCAGAGAGTGCTCATAGGCCCGGTGGCGGAGCCGCGCTGACAGGGAGCCCAAGCGCACAAAATAGCCCTGCTGTTTCCTCTGTTCCTCCACCGAGCCCACCTCCGGGCCCTCGGCTTCAGCCGCCAGCGCCGCTGGGAGGGGACAGGAAAGCGTGTCAGCCAGGTGTGTCGCTCCCTTCCCGCCTGCGGACACTGGGCTAACAAGCCTGGGGGCTTCCAAGTGCAGTTTTCTTACTAACACTAACGCATCTCAGCTTCCCCAGTGTCTACGATGCCCCATTTTATAGATGAAGACGCCCGAGGCAACAGAGCTGAAGCCCCACAGCATGCTAGAGGCAGCACGGGGCCTGGGCCGGGGCTGACCCACTCTGCCAGCCTGCCCTGCATTACAGGGGCGGCGCACGGTGGCGCTTTGTTCATGCCCCGCGGCCTCCGTGTGTGGGGAGAACAGTCGCGCTTTGCTTGGCAACGGAGCCACATTCTGAGAAGGGCTTCGAGAGCGACACTGTGTTGTGTGAACGTCGTGGGTGGAACAACACAACCTAGGGGGCCTGGCCTGCCGCCCACCCGGCTGGGTGCTGGAGCCCGCCGGGACCCCCGATGGTGCATGCGCGTGTGTCAGTGAGCGCGACTAGGTGAGCACAAGCAGGAGGTGTGGCGGCCGCTCGCCACCAGCCGCGGGAAAGGAGCGAAGCAGACAAGACGCGGACACTGGCTGCTGACGGGCTCCCGGAGCCGTCTGAGGTGTGGATGGCCGCTCGGCTAGTTTTTCAAGACACGCCGGGGATCAGGACCTGCAGGGTGACGTCTGACTGCTAAATGCAGGAGATGATTTAAAACACGTCAAAGGCTGCTGAGGCCAAATAACTCGGTGGGTCACCAGGTGGACAGTCCCACTCTCAAGTCTATCAGCCCGTATGCGTTTCTAGCAGGATGGGGGCCGGGGGGGCTATGGAAGCAGAGTGGGAGGCCCCGGCTCTGTGTTTCCTGCGGTCTCCGGGGAGAGAACTGGACCTCTCTGATCAGGGGCCGGCGAGCGGGGCCGGGGGATTCAGGGGACGGCGCTGGCCTCACCGAGCTCATCCTCAGTCATGGGCAGGAAGTGGTCGACCAGCTCCTCTGACTTGCCCAGCACGACGTCCACAGCATGACTCACGGAGCGTTTCAGCTCCACACTCCAGCGGCGGCTCTGCCGAGCCAGGCCTGCCACACCTGTCACGCTGCTGGCTACCGCGTCCTTGGCAGAGGTCACCACCTGGATGGAGGGGCTCCGTTCCAGGCACCGTCAGCCTCCGGTCTGTTCCCTTGGCCCCCTGCCCCAGAGGCTTGGGGCTGGGAGTCAAGGATCCCTGACCCCTTCTTGGTTCTAGACCTCAGTTTCTCCTCTATTAGCCCTTCTCAGGGTTGTTGCAAGCATTACCAGCACCGACTGGCACATAATAAGTGCTCAATTAACGTGGGTGTCGATTGTTTTCATCTGACTGGTGTTTTACAAGTTGACAAAAGCCAAACGAAGCCCCTGCACACCTCGCTCCCACCTCCACACCCTTGCAGGCTAGGCCGGTACCATTTCAGAAGGTTGCTGGAGAATTGGCAGTTTCTGCTCCAGCTTGTCCAGGCCTCTACAGGCAAGGTCATTCACTGTGGCCACTGAGAGAGAGAGAGAGAAGCAAGAAGGAAGGGGAAAGGCAGAGACAGGGAGGGGGAGGAGGGAAGAGAGACAGAGGGAAGCCCAGGCCACACGGGGGACCCCAAGAGCTTGGCTGGACTGTGCCTCCTCTGCCCTCCTCACCTCTGCCCTGCTGGGACCAAGGCGACGCCTCACCTACACCCGGCTCAGATACCCAGAAGGCACTCAAGGTCACGAGCCAGCCAAGGAGGCAGGGGAACCCTTAGGTTGGGACCCTCAAGGGACCCCCTTCCTCAGTCAAGGCCTGGGGTCTTTCCCTGCCCCCCACAGATGGGATGCCTGAGATGGTCACAGGGATGCAGGGAGACAAGGTGGTTCCGGGCAGGTGGAGGCAGGGATGAGGGGCAATCAGGAGGTTGGACAGGCAAATGGATCTGAGGTGCAGCAGACCAAGGGAGGAGCACAGGGAGGCAGGCCGAGGGGGGACAAGAGGAGCGAGGCCGTGAGTGAACAGCGAAGGCCAGCCAGCCAGGTGGGCAAGCTCCAGAGCTGGAGGCGGAGGGGGCCAGGGAGAATCAGGTGCCCAGGAGACCAAGAACGGAGGGGGCGGCACACGACGCAGCGGGAAGGGTGCAGGCAGGCAGAGGAAAGGCGCTCAGAACAGGGGAGGCCGCGAGGGACTCCCAACTCGGGGGGCCCACCCCACAGCATGCCACGCAGACGGAGCGTTACAGGATGGGCCGCGGGCAACCCCAAGACCGGGACGCCACCAGGGACACTCACGCTGGGGCTGCAGGTGGCTGAGCAGCGGCTGGGCGTGGTCCAGGGCTCGGGTGGTCAGGCCGCACATGCAGTGCTCAGCCAGGCGGCAGGCCGAGCCCAGCAGCGGGTGCTTGTCCTTGGCGGCGCTGTACACATCTGAGACCGCGGCACATGTGGTCCTGACCAGGGGCAGCGCCGCCACTCGCTGCACGACGCTCTGCAGGCAGGGGCAGCAGCTGAGGCCCCCGGACCAAGCCGTAGCCCATTTCCCGGGTCTGGGAGAGGCCAGGCAGCGGGCAGGGGAGAGTGTATTGAGCGCTCTCAACTGGCAACTGCCCACTTGATTTGGGTCCTTGATCTGCCCATCTGTCAAACGGGCTGCTGTGACTGAGAGGGAGTCAAGGAGCCAGTATGTGAAGCAGGTGAAGACACCGATGCAGATTGTGCGCTGTTACTGATGTTAGTTTATCTCTGTTTGTCTGTCTATCAATCTATCTATCTATCTATCTATCTTAAGATTTATTTACGCATACAAGAATTGGGGTACAGGCCAGAGGTGCGGGTGGTGAGAGGATTCACCAGAGACAGAGTGGAGAGCAGAGCAGGCAGACTGACTGAAATACACTGAGGGGAGCTGTGGGCGGGACAGGAGAGGTCTGCTGTGCCAGATCTGCTGTGTCAGCTCCCTGGCCCGCCTGGCATTGAACTCATGCCGTGCAGCAGTGGCTGCTGATAGCTTCATAGTGCTGCAACTTAACCCCTTGTGCCACCAGGGAGGCCCACTAATGCTAGTTTTGATGTTAACAGTGCCGTGATGCCATGGTGGAAACAGGGGTGCAGGGTGAGCCCCAGTGGTGGGAGAGGGAGAACTGGGCAGGGGTGGGTGAGCCAGCTGGTGTGCTTGGAGAGACGATCCCCACCCAGGGCCTCACTCTTCCCTTCTGGAAATTGAGTAGGATGTGCCGGCCCCCTCTATGGTCCAAAATGCCCCCAGAGTGAGGTGTTCACAGCAAGGGTAGAGGCAGGAGGAGGTGCCCCACCTCCTCCCAGGATGGGCTGTCCCCCCACCTTCTCTGTGCCTCTGCTCCATGGAAAGAGGAGCTCCTTACCTGCTGGTCTTGCTCCCATAAGCTGGGTCTGGTGACCTGAGTCTCCTCCTCGCCTTCCGACATGCTTGCTGCAAACAGGGTCACCCTGAGGGGCAGGAGAGTGAGGGGGAGGAACCAGCCTTCCCAGTTCCTGCCCAGGCCTAGGGTTCTGTCCGGCTGGGTCTTGTGCAAGTCTCGTTCCCTCTTGGTGCCTCAGTTCCCTCATCAGCAAAATAATACTTACCTCAGAAAGCTTTGAGGGCCAGACAGCCTATGCCTGGACTCTGCACACAGCAGGTGCACATTAAAGAGCCTGTGGCAAGGTGGAGGCACTGAAGTGATTCAAAACATGGGCTCTAGTGAGAGAAAGACCTAGGTTTGCGTCTTGGCATTATTGCTGTGTGACTTTGGGCGAGAACCTTTACCTCTCTGGGCTCTTCCCTCCTCGGCAAAGTGGAGGAGATCCCTGCTGCCCCCACCCTGGGCAGACCTGCACAAGCTGCCCCCTGGAAGGGTGGAAGCTACCTGTGGAATGCCAACAAATCCACAGGGACACCTGACAGACAGGGAAACTGAGGCAACCACAGGGCCCTGCTGGGCCCAAGGTCACTCAGCTAAACAGAGTGAGAGTTGGGAGCTTGAGCTAGGCTTCAGGCTCCCAGCCCGCAGCGCCTTCCCTCTACCACCCTGGCTCCCGCCCAACTGGGTCCTGAGCTTCAGCCAACTGGGCCAAGGGTCTCAGTCACCTGCTCCGGTCTGTCACCTCCCTGCCCTCCCCACGCCGCCGGACCCTCATCCAACCCATGCGATCCCGGGACCCCGAGACTGAGGCAGCGGCACTCACCTGGGCGCGGAGAGCCTGGCGCTACAGGTGCCACTGCAGACCCCAGACTCGGGCTTCAGACTCCGCCCCCGCCCAGCCGGCCGCCTTATATAGGCTCCGGAGGCGTGGCCTCTGGGGACTGACCAATGGGAAGAGGTCTCTAGGGGGCGTGGCCAGCGCGTGGCCCCAGGCTCCCCGCGCTCTTCCCGGGGCGCCCAGAGCGCTCTGGAGTTGCCATAGCAACCTGTGGACCCTAGATGCCCAAGGTTTGAGTTACTTGTGGCCAAGTTCGGCCGCCTGTCCTCCTCACTGCAATCACAGTCCCCATCGCTTGGCCCGGTGACCTTGGACAAGTCCCCAAGGCCTTTTTATTTTTAAAAAATCTACCGCTGAGCTAAACCAGGAGCCAGACAGGCCCAGTCCCATTTTGCAGAGGAGCAAGCTGAGGCTTAGCACGCCGGCCCCACCTACCCTACAGTGTTGAGGGATCCGATTCAAGCCCTGCTCTGCCAGACTCCAGATCTCTGACTTTCATGACTGCCAGCGTGGACATGACCCTCCTTCCAGGGGGTTGAAGACTCCGCAAGTCCCCCAAATCTAACATTAGCTTCCCCCCATTCCCAGCGTGCTAGCAGCTCTCTGTGTTCATCCGGCTGCCCATGCTTGCCCGAGGGCCTCCTCTGGGCTATGGACCAACATGACAAATTGTTTGAAGACCTGGAGCAATCTGCTTTAATTTCAACCTTCCCCAGGACACAGACTCTGGCAGGAATCCGCTGGTAAAATGACACCTTGGGCAATGGTCAGGGTTTTATTTCGAGTTAAGTCCTACATAGGGAGGGGGTGGGGAGCAGCCACAGGCCTTCAGATGCCAGTCGCTATCCACTTGGGAGTTCGTGTTGAGCACCCCGGCCCTGGGTGGCTCCCCTTTCTTCCTGCTTCAGCCTGGAGACCTAGGAAGCTGACTCGGGGGATCAGGGAACACACAAAATGAGTGCCAATCTGTCGAATTCTGCTCAGTTATTTATTAAACCCTTAGGTCTGATTCCAAACCGAATGATGTTGGGAAAGAGGCAACTCAGCCCAGACTATGCACTTAGAAAACCCCCAAACTGGGGGGGAAACAGGGCCAGAGAGACACAAGCCCAGGGTGGCCAGGGCTGGGCCTGAGGGAGCTTCAGAGACAGAGACCGGGGAAACTGGGGAAAGGAAGCATCTGCCGCTCAAGTAAAGGTAAGGAGGCTGGACTGGAGGGCCCAACTGCATTTCAGAACAAGGGCACCAAGGACTTGGCAACTATGGAAAGCCTGCATTTTACCCTTGGAACATGGGATTGTTGGCTAAATGGGGTGCTGTGTGTGGCCAGGAATGTCTTGCCACCTGCACCCCAGCCCAGGTCTCAATGGGACCCAGCCGCTGCCAGGAGCGTCTGCCCCTTCCAGGCCTCAGGCCCGGCGCAGCGTGTGTTGTTCCGGAAGAACATCTTGTCTTTATTGGCCACGAGCCATGCATAGAGGTCATTCAGCTTCTTGTCGCAGATCCAGGGGTTCCCAGAGATGTCGAAGCCCTCTTCCATGTCTCGGGCAGGCTGCCCAAGGGATGTCCAGAGTCCCTCGGGCACGCTGGAGAGCGAGTTGTTGGAGAGGTCCAGCATGTCCAGCTGCCGCAGGACTCTGAAGGCGCCGGCCGCCACCGCACTCAGTTTGTTGTCACTCAGGAAGAGGTAGCGGAGGTCTGGTTGGGGAGCCAGAAGGCCCTCTCCAAGTGCCTGCAATCTGTTGCCCTCCAGATGTAGCCGTTCCAACTGCAGAGGGCCTTTCAGAAAGCCAGGGGGCAGTGTCTCCAGCTGGTTACTGCCAAGGTCAAGAATGCGCAGATCAGTGAAGTTGGCCAGCAGCCCAGGGGGCAGTGTCCGGAGGTGGTTCCCAGACAGGTCCAGGTGCCCCAAGGCTTTCAGACCACACAACCACGAGGTCTCCAGCCCTTCCAGCTGATTTTCCTTCAGCACCAGGGTGTGGAGGGCGGCAGAGACCTGGAAGAGGCCCGGGGGCAGCTGGCTTAAGGCATTGCGGGTTAGATCCAGCACCTTCAGCTGAGGCACAGGCAGTAGAAACTTGGCTGAAAGGTTCTGCAGTCGGTTGCTAGAGAGGTGCAGTTCCTGAAGGTTAGAGATGCCCTGGAGGGCATTGGCTGGCAGTTCTGTCAGGTTGAAGAACTCTATGACCAGGTGGACAGTGTCAGCGGGGAAGTGGCGAAGCAATTTGACAGGTGGGTGGCAGGAGACGAAGCTGCCGTTGCTCGGCTGGGATACCAGGCAGGCATCTGGGTTGGGGTTGGAGGCCACAAATAGCAGCAGCAGGAACAGGGTCCTAGAAATATGGGGATCCAGGCCCCTATATTTGCTGCAGGCAATGACAGAAGGTGCTTGATAAGCTGAAAGGAAGCTATAGCTAGCTGCAAGTGAACATATACCCAGACCCGTGTACTTCCCAACTCCACTTCTGCTCCCTGGACTACCAAGTCCTGAGGGACTCAACACGTCATCGCTCACCTGGACTCCTGCAGTCACCTTCTCCTCTCCTGGCCTCCATGCTCACCTGCCCAAACTTGCCAGACATAGCCCCTGTTCTGGGAGAATTCTAATTCTATGAAATTTGAGTTTCTTTGTCTGACCCCTAAATGCTACCCTTCCCCATTACCAATCTATTCTCAATGGGCTATTAATTATTTGCAGTCCATCTTGCTGATTTCCTTTGATCTCACTTTTTCTGTGTCCCTGCCTCTGTGTTTTGAAGGCAGAGCCAGCAAACTCCTATTCATACTGCAAAGTCCCAACTTCAAAGCTCCCATTTCTATGAAGTTTTCTCTGACCTTCCCAAGCAATGCTGACAGTTTCTCCCCTGGGTTCCTGCACTTTCTGTCCAGCCCTGACCAAACAAGGTTAGGTTCTCTAGCTCCATCATGCTTGCTTCAGAGTACTTATTCCAAAGTGCTCAGATGCAACCCAGGACTCTGGGTATAAACAGGACTCAAGTGCTTTCTGATTCAGGCAGGTCTGGGGGGGATATTTGACCTTGGGATAGGGGGGTTTACACTTGACACTGTAACATTTGGAGAGCTGGAGCTTCTGCTTCTTCTGGTCCCTCCATAGGCAGGGGTGGGGGCTTCTTACTTCCTGCCTGGCCCATGGCCCACCTGGGGGCTTCCTCAGTGAGAGTGTGCATGGGAGTGTCTGCCTGTAGTTAGCACCTCGGTGTCATCTGTTCTAGCCTGCAGCCTACACCTGCTCCTTGACTTCAGAGGGCCAGGTGGAATGTGGCCCTTTTCTGTATGGCTCCTATTCAGGTCCAGGTGGGTAGGCAGAGAACCTACCTCTGGTTTCGATCTTGGCTCCAAGAGGACATGATGAGCTCTCTCTTTTCCTCTCTGGTTACCTTGGTCTGGAGAGGTGGCCTTATATCTGGGCTGGGGGCAGGGACACTGGCCACAGGGAAGTCTCCACCCATGTCCTTTTCCCGACAGGGGCTGAGCCTGAACCAGGCAGGAGAAAGGGAGGGGTCAGGATTGCAAAATTATTTCCTGGCAGGGGGAGGACAATAAGGGGCCTGTTCACTCCCTTCTGAGCCCCCCCACTGATTTCTACTCTGGGGGAGTAGGTACCCAAAAGTCACCCGGGCGGAGTCTCCATTTCCTACAACCCAGGTCAAAGTTGCAAGGCACTTTTCCTGGGGGAGGGGACCAGCTCTTGAGTAAGATGTACTATTTATGTTACGTGTGAGCAACCTGGAAGTTCAGCGAAGGGGACATTTGTCTTGTGTTCGTGACATGTTTTTTAATCGAATAATTTTAAAAATAAAGGTCAAAAGTAAGTGGATCCTTAAGTCTCTAGTTGTTCCCACAATGGTCTGGGACTGAAAAAAACTCTCTCTAAAAGCCTAGCTTTGTCATAATTGCTTTTTGACATTGCGCAAAGGGTTTACCTTTACAGGTCTGTTTCCCTGTCTGTGAAGTTGAACTCGACCTCCGAGGGCCCTTCTGCACTTTCTTTCTTTGCCTGAAGTGGATTTGTTTTGGATCTTTCTCATTTCCTAATAAATGTATTTGGAGGCTACACGTTTTCCTTAAAAAAAAAAAAATACTTTGGATGTGATTTACGGGTTTGAACCCATTTGATACTTTTTTTTTTCTGGTTCAGTTCTTTTTTTTTTTTTCCTCGTTCAGTTCTTAATGTTCAGGTGTACCCAGAACACCTCTTCTCCCCAGTCAATCTCTGACGGGCTTTGTCCCTGATCAGCTGCAAGGGTGACTAAGGGTTCTGCCTTAGTGGACACACAGGCTCTAAGATACATGCAACTGACAGCCACAGGCATAGAAAAAGACAGACAGACAGACACACGAATACACAGACACCAATGCTCACACAGAGACAGGTGAAAATACAAGGACGAACCAAGCTGATCCAGACAGAGCAGGACACACAGGACAGGAAGTAGGCCTGCTGAAATGGACACATAAAAATGTTCAGAGGGAGCCTCCCCTGGTGGCGCAGCGGTTGAGTGCTGGGCTGCGAAGATGTGCACATCCTCAGCAGCACCGGTTCGATCCCCGGCTGCCGGGCGAGTGTCCCACATGGCGCACAGACCCCTCCGCTCTGGCTCTGGTGAATTCTCTCACCCTCCCGCGCTTCTGACTGTACCCAGTGCTTATATGAATAAATAAATAAATAAATCTTTAAAAAAAAATGTTCAGAGGAACTGAACAGACATTTTTTTCAAAGTTGACATGCAGGTGACCAACAGGTCCATGAAAAGGTGCTTGACGTCATTCACATTGAGATGCTACCTGGCTCTTGTATAAATAAAATAAATCATTAAAAAAAATACAAAAAGAGTAAGACACTTAAAAAAAAAAAGAAAACACACACATGCAGAGAAATAGTATTCAGTCACTAAAAAGAAGCAGATCCTGCCAGTTGCGACAACATGGTTGAAGCTTGAGGGCATTACGCTAAGTGAAAATAAGTCAGGCAGACAAAGACAAATACTATGATCTCACATACATGTGGAATCCAAAAAAACGAAGAAACCAACCAACCAACTCAAAAAACAGACTCAAGAAACAGAGAATGGAATGGTGGTTGCCAGGGGCTGGGGGTGGGGGAGAGAGGAGCTGTTGATCAAAGGGTGCAGACTTGCAGTATAAGATGAAGCAATTCCAGGGACCCAGCCATTAGTATGGTGACAGGTTAACAACACTGTATTGTGTACTTGAAAGTTGCTGTAAATAAGAGTCCATCTTCAATGTTCTCACCAGAAAATAAGATTCAATCAAATAAAAGCTAACTATGTGAGACAGTGTATGTGTTAAGTGACTTACTACGGCAATCATTTTGCCATAGAAAATGACACTTAGATGAAATCAAGCTATACACTTTAAACATAGTATCTCTCAAGCAAGCTGGGGAACATATACACACCAGGTCAGAGGTCAGACACCCTCAAGGTATTTGGTGTTTCTTGGTTTAATGTCTGTCTCTCCCAGGATGAAGGGGGAGCCGAGATCTTCATTGCTCACTGGGCCACCCCCAGACCCAGCGCACAGGAGGTGCTCTGTCACCGTGGGCTGGAAGGAAGGGCTGTGAACAGTGACAGATGCTGAAGCAATCTTGTAGAGTGAAATCAGATCAGGCCCCCTGCTTAAAAGCCTCAAATGGCTCCATATCCCACTTAAAATTCATAAGGCTGGGGGAGGGGGAGGTGGAATTTAATGGGAACAAAGTATCAGGTTGGGGAGATGGAAACATTCCAAAAATGGGTGGTGGGTGCACAATAATGTGAATGGACTTGGGTCTGCCTTTGAACTTCAAAATGGTTCAAATGATAAATTTGAATTTATGTGCATTTCTGTGTATTTTACCACAAAATATTCATATTCCTTACCTTCAAGGCCTTGCCTGCCTGCCTGCACGCCTACCCCCATTATCCTCATCCGCTCCCTCCTCACCCACACTGCTCCAACCACACTGACTGCCTGGCTCTTTCTCCAAGCTTGTTACTACCCCAGGGTCTTTGCACTGGCTGTGCCCTCTGCCTCGAATGCTCTCTCTGCACACCTTCCTTGGTGCTCTTTCTCATTGGACTACTTCAGCTCAAGTATCATCACCTCCAAGAGGCCCTCCTTGACCACCACCCTCCACACAGTCCCCCCTAGATTGTCTGGCTTGTTTTTCATTACACATGTCATTACCTCAAATCAAGTTTTAATCAACTTGTATATGATTGGTCTCCCCCACCAGGCTGTGAACCCTGTGAGGACAGAGGTGTTTATGCCCACGCATAGCAGATGCACAATAAATATCGGCTAAAGGATCAATCAAAAACCGTCCCTCATCCAGATGAAGATGGGGTCCCACCTGATACTCAGCTCCTTAGAACTGTTTACTGTTCTGACCCAGCCTGCAAATGCCCCGACACTGTGTAGGTCCCACCCCAGGGAGACAAAGCAGACCCAGAGCCTTGGGGGCCGGTGGTTGTAAACAGTTTTATTGATGGGGAGGGGATGGGGGAGGCAAACTCCAGAGAGGGTCCAGGACTCAGCTGGCCACGTGGCATGCATGGTCAGCTGAGGTCAAGGGGAGGTCACAAAAGGACAGGTGTCGTGGGACCCTCTGACCACCCTGGGGCCATATTTACAGGGGCCCCCCACCTATGCCACCCCCCAGACCCCTGAGCCCTTCAGGCAGCTGCTGCCAATGACTTCTGGGCAGGCCTTCCCGGCACCCCTGCCTGAAAACCCCTCCTGTCTCCCCTTCAAACTCCTAACCGGCACCTTGGAGGCTCCTGGGCCTTCTGGAAGCCCTGCATTGGCTTAGCCAATGCCCAGGCCACTGGGGCCCCCGCTCACACACAGACACACACACTGCACGCACGGCCTGCCCCACGCACACCACAGCAGCCCTCAAGGACACACACACGCTCATCTCCCCACTTCCTGGCCCCTTGCACACAAACACAGCATGCACACGCACACACACCCACACACGCCAGGAGCCCGGGTTGAGGAGGGACCTTTGAGGGATGGAGAGGCTTGGGTCTGCAGCTGTAGCCCCCCACATCCCGCTGCCTCCATGCCCCCAGCCGCCACCCCGAGAACGGAGTTGTGCAATTGGTTAGAAAACTGCAAAAGAAATGCAAATTGGAAAACAAACCCAAATCCACGCGCAGGTCAACCTCAAATCCATAGCACATTCCTCCCACCCACCACCCCCCAAACCGCCTCAGTGTCCTGCGGCCCCGGGGTTTTGGGGAGGCCGAACTCATTGTGCTTCCGTGTGGCGGAGGGGGCCCCCACGAGAGTGGGGTGGGAGTCTTGAGCACCCACTCGGAGCTGGGCCGGGTCTCTTGCTCCTGGTTCCCGTGGCTGGCACTGCCAAGGCATGGGGGGGTCCCGGTCTAGGGCACGGGGGGCGCAGTCCTGTCTGTGCCCCCATAGGAGAGGATGTGGGCCAAGTCCGTGCTGGGCCGGGAGTGGCGGCCACGGTGCCGGTCTCCGGGCCGGCCCTCCCCGCTGTTGAAGGTGTGCGTGCGGCGCAGGGCGGCAGCCGGCGGGGCGTGGGGCCCCGGCCTCCGGAGGCTGCCTGTGGGCGGCGGGCTCCAGGGCCGCGGGAGGCTGTCGGCAGCTGAGGTTGCGTCCGAGGGGCCCGTGGGCGCTGACACCACCCGCCGGCGGTCCGGGCTGGCGTGGGGGGTGAGTGGGAAGTCGCCGTGGGAGGCCCGGCAGGGCCGGGTGGCATAGAGGCGGGCGTCGGGGGCTGGCTCGCCTGGCGCTGGGGGCTGCTCCGGGGCACGGGCTGGGGCCAGCAGCAGGAGGGAAGAGGAGGCGGAGGCGGAGAGCAGGGGGTGGCCATGCTCCCAGGCTCGGGGGCCCAGGGCATGGGGGTGTGGCGTGGGCAGGCGCTTCTGAGGCAGTGGTGTCTGCTCAGGAGTGGGCAGCAGCCCTGAGTCCAGATCGTGGGGGCCGCCCTGCAGGAGCGTGGCCTTGGCCCAGCCGTTCTGCATCAGCGGAGCCAGCAGGGCCTCGGGGGGTGCCCCAGGGCCAACACCACCGCCTGCGCCCCGGCCTCCGGGGCCCCCTGCGCGGCGTTCGCCCAGCCGGCTCACACTCAGCACGGACTCGCCGCCCCCGTGGGCCAGGATGGCCTCCTTGTCCTTGCGGCGGGCCAGCTCCCGGCGCTCTCGGAGTCCCACGTACCAGCCCACGCTGAAGCCGGACACCACGGCGCCCACCACGAAGGCCGCCACCGACGACGTCACCAGCAGGTTCACGGACACCAGCCCGGCTCGCTCCTCCGACAGGCTGGCCCGCAGGAGCCCTGGGGGGAGCGCGGGCTGAGGGGCCGGCCGGGGCCTTCCCACCTCCCGCCGCCTCCGCGGGCCCCAGTATCTGTCACCCGTCCTCTGGGAGTTCATCTCTCTTGAGAAATCGCTCCCCTTGAAGCCCCATTGGTCCCTCGGTGTCCGTTTCTCTGGGGCCTCACCCCTTAAAGTGTGTCCCTCTAGTCTGTGACGTCTGTCACCCTAGGGCTTGGCTGTCTTGGCATCGGTCTGTCTGTCTCTCATTTCCTCTCTCTTCCTTTCACAGCCTGTCTGTCTGTCAGTGTCTCTCTGTCCCCTGGTGTCTGTCTTCTCTGTCCATCTGTCTGCCTCATGGTATCGCCCTTTCCATGTCCATCTGTCTGTCCTCTCAAAGCTCATCCATCCATCTGTCTCTGGTCTCTCTCTGTCCCGGGGTCTGTCTGTCCTTCTATATAGAAATAGAACCCCCTGCCCTTCCAAAGCTTGGCTGGGAGCCAGCCCCACCCACCCCGCTGAGCAAGGATGGCAAAGGGCATGAGAGCCCTGGAGGTCCAGCATGGAGTCTCCAGGCCCCCTTCCTGCCCCTGTCTTACCTGTGCAGTCCCCTAAGCCTGAGGTGCTGGCCCCGGACACATCCTGTTCAAAGGAGGCTCTGAGGGGGGAAGAGAGGCAGGTGTAGAAACCCTCTCACGGAGCCGGGGGTGGGGTCCTGTCACACTGGGTCACACCCCCCCGCCCCCAACCTTCCCCTCCCGGTACCTGGTGCCAGGGCTAAGGAAGATGCAGGAACCGTCGGGGGCCCACCCGCAGTAAGGGTCCTGGCTGCCGATACAGTTCCTGCGGTAGACAGGGGCCCGGCATGTGGGTTAGTCAATCTCTCCTGCAGGCCCGTCCATCCCAGGGCCCTCACGGCAAATCTCTGCAGTGGGGCTGATCCTTTGCCATTTTAGCAATCAGGGAGCCGGCGCTCAGGAGAGGTCACTTTTGCCCAAATGCAGAGCCGGGGTGGAGCCGGGCGGGCTTGCTTCGGATCATCATGGCTTTGATGACAGATGTGGGCGAGGGTTCTCACGTCAAGGGGTCTCACGCTGACCCCAGAGGTGCCAACAGTTTATCTGCTTCTGCATCTGGTCTCTATCCATTTTGGAGGCAGGGAGACAGTCGCCGCCTATTCTCCTGTCCTGCTCTTAAAAGTGTCACGCAGACCCTGTCTCTCCCTGCACAGTCCTCGAAGGGCTCCCGCCTCACTCGGGGCCAGAGTTCAATTCCTCCCCACAGCCCACAAGTCCCTACATGACCTGCCCTGTCCCCTCCCTGCCCTCCGCGCTCCTCTAACTTCCCCCAGCTCTGCTGTAGCTATACGGGCCTCCTTGCTGGTTCTCCCACATGCCAGGCATGGCCCTGCCCCAGGGCCTTTGCACACGCCGTGTTCGCTGCCTAGCTCATTATTCAATGAAGCAGGATGCTGTTGTGCCCTGGACTTCAATTTGGCTCTTTCTTTCCCTGTTTATCTCCTTTCCACCCCTTTTCTTGCCTTCTGCAGCTGATCTGGGGGTGGGTGGGAAGCACTTACTTCATGCACCCCGAGTACTGCTGGCATCGGGCCACTGGCACTCGGACTACACATCGGGGAAAGGCTGCCAGCAGGCCACCTGAAGCTGTGTCTAGCTCCAGGCTCAGCAGCTTTTGCCCTGTCTCGTCGTCACTAGACCGTCCACACCTGGGGGTGAGCAGATTGGTAAGACTCAAAGGGGGCATTCCATCTCCCTGCCCACCTGCCCCGCCTCCTGGCCTCTGCCCAGCCCCACCTGTCTGGCCGGTAGGTCTCGAACTCCTCCAGGAAGACGCTGGGCCCGCTGGTGCCCAAGACGCTGGCATTGGGCCAGATGAGAAACTTGAGGACAGTGCCTGCCTCAGATCCCAGGAACACGACTGTCTGGTTGCCCCAGGGGCCAGCACCCACGTCCACGGCCACTCTCGTCAGCTGGTGCCTAAGGCCGGGATGGGGGCGAGGGTCAGGCTGATCCCAGAGCCCCCAAAGTCACCCCAGGCCCACGCGGTGATACCACCCACGCCCAGCAAGGTAGGCAGCTGCAGTGACATGGTGCACCTCACGGAGAGGAACAGATCCCCACTGGGCCCCCCCTTGGGCCTGCCTCTCCCCGTCTCTGTCTCTCCCCAGCCCTCAGTCTTGCTCTGCTCCTTTCCGTGTCTCTCTGTCTTGAACTTCCTGGATCGTGTGTGTCTTTCTCTCTCCCCCTCTCTCCCCTCTGTCTCCATTTCTTTTTTTACATGATATCTCAATTTTGCTTTAATTTGCATTTCTTTTTTTTTAAAAAAAAAGATTTGTTTATTTATGCACACAAGAGCTGGGGTGCAGGCCAGCGATGCGGGGGTGAGAGGATTCACCAGAGACAGAGTGGGGAGCAGAACAGGTGGATTGACTGAAACACACTGCTGAGGGGAGCAGCGGGGAGACAGGAGAGGTCTGCTGCGCCGTGTGGGTAGCTCCCTGGCCGGGGATGGAACTCGTGGTGCGGTGGCTGGCCGTGCTTGATAGCACTGTCTTTAAGCCCTGCGCCACCAGGGAGGCCCTGCCTCTGTTTCTTTCTCTGCATCTCCCTCTCTGTCCTTCATCTTTCTCCTGGTGTGTGTCTCTCTCCCTCTCTCTGTGTCTCCCTCTGTTTCCGTCTCTTTGGGAAGCCCTGGAGTTGTTTTCAGCATCTGCCCTTCCCCTCCTCCTCCAGCCTGCAGACGGCTCCCTCCTTTCTATGTGCCCAGCATCCTGGCCTGGGCTCCTGCCCACCCCCTGGCTGACCAGGACCCCACCAAACGTGGGGACCCACCGCATCAAGGTGCGCACGATCCAGGGAGCGTGGCCCAGCGACGGCACTGCCTCGTCCATCAGAGGGTGGGTCTTGACGAAGTTGAGGATCTCATCAGGGAAGGCGCTGGAGGTGTTGTACTGCATGCCGGGAGCCGCACAGCAGCCGGGCCTAGCGGAGGCAGGGGTTGGGGCAGGCTTAGGGACCTACTGCCCTGCCCAAAGGGCCTCGGTTTTCCCCAACTGCCCAATGGGTGTAGCTCAACTCAGCGATGGCTAAATAACCACCTGAGTCCCGCCCTAGGGGCAGCGCCCGTTTCCAGACGGGAGGCTCTTACCGGGGCCGCGGCACCTGATCCTCCGGCACAGGCGTCCAGATGGACTCTGGGGACTTCTGCTCGCGGAAACGGCCTTCGAACACAGCAGCCACCTGCATCATGTCAAAGGCGCAGACGGCCGAGCCAGGGATGCTAGGGGGCGGGGGGTGGTAGAAGAAAGGGAAGGGTGAGCCTGGCTGGGTGTCCCCCCTGCCAACAGCATGCAGGAATCCTCCTCCCGCGCCGTCAATGCTCAGACCCCTGAGCTGAGCTGCTGCCACCCACCCAATTCTGTCACTCCAGCTCTCGGTCAGCACTCACTCAGGGCCACAGGAGGCTCTTCCAGGACACCCTGTGCCCAGACACCCCCTGTCACTTGCCTGGACATTGAGCCTCCTAGATGTCACTCTTGCCCTCTTTCAACCCATTCTCTGGGAGATTTTGACGAAGTTGCAAATTTGACCTTGTCCCTCTCTTGCTTCTCAAGCTTCCATGGCTCCCTAGAAGTCTCAGCATAAAGTCCAGGCTCTTCCTGGTTGCCTGTAACCTCTCTACCCTCACATCTTCCACTCTCTCCCCACTCTCTCCACTGTAGCCACGAGTCTCCTTCTTTAAATGTATCAAGCTCATTGTAGCCCCAGGGCCTTTGCACGTGCTGTTTCTGTAACTTAGAGCACTCTTCCCTTTTCCTTTGCACTCATCAAAACCTAGATCCAATGTCCCCTCACCCAGGAAGCCTTCCCTGGTCTCCTCCCAAGTAGGGCTGCAGCTATCCCCCATCTGCCCAGTTCTGACTAAAGGACTTTAAAGGGTCAGTGTCTGCTTATGTCCCATCCTGTCCTAAAACTGAGGCCTCCTTGGGGTCCAATCTGGCCCAGCCCAGGTTTCCAGAAATAGGTGATCAGTGAATGCGGGACCTCTCCATCCATGGCCACCCGACGCTTGCGATTTGCTCCCATCAGTGCCTGCTCACCTGTTGCTGGGGGTAGAGAAGACAGCAAGGACCACAGGCCGCCCCCCTAGGCTGACCACGCCCGTGACGGCCTGCAGCACGTTGAAGTAGAAGTGGGAGTCCCCAGGCACAGAGCAGTTGAGCCTCGCCTTCAGGAAGGAGGTCCACTGTTTCTCCAGCACACGCGGGGAGCCTCCCACATCATTCTTGCACACCCGGGCCACGCGGGACACCACCACCTGGGCACGACAGCAGGCAGGTGGGGCCTGAGTCCTAGGTCCCAGGAAGACCTACCTGAAATCCATGTTGCCTGCCTCGCAGGCAAGCACGTACACTGGTTCTGGCTCCCACCCACCACACCAAGGCGCCCAGGGCAACAGGTTCCCCAGCAGAAATGTGAGGAGGATATGATGATTATAGCAAGGAGACCATCATAGCCATAATCGCTTCCACCTATGACTCACTCGCAATGACCAGGCACTTTCTTCTCATCTCTTACATTTCTCCCAAAGTTCTGCAAAGGAGAGTCTACTGATATCTCCTTTATATAGATGGAAAAATTAAGGCATAGAGAAAAAGAAGGCAGCCTATGGTCACTCTAGTAGTAAATGGCTCTCTGTGTACTTAGCTGTCTTAGCCCCTTGCATGAGGGGAGGAGAGATGACTAGATGGGTGGGTAAGTGTACAAGTAGATGAGTGGATGGATGGATGATGGATCGGTGGATGGATGGGTGGATGGGTGGGTGGATGGATGGATGGATGGATGGGTGGGTGGATGGATGGATGATGGATGGATGGGTGGATAAGTGGATGAATGTCTAGGTGCATGGAGGATGAGTAGATAGATGAACAGATGAAGGAGATAATGATAGAGAAATTGATGAGTGGATCGATGGATGGATAAAAGGCTGACTGGAATGGGTGAAGAGCTTATGAAGAGGAGATAATTGTACATTCAGAAGGGTGGGCAGATAGAAGGGGAAATGCATGGCGGATGGATGGATTGATAAGCAGGAAGGCAGATCAGTGCATGGTAATGAACGCGTGAACAGGTGCACGGAGAAGTGAATGAACAAGAGAATGAATGGGAGAAGGTGGCCAGAGGGCTAGGTGCATGGCAGGGCTGGTGACAGGTAAATGGAAGGAAGGATGGAGGATGGCTGAGTTGGTGAGCGGGTCATGGGTAGATGGATAGATTGATAAATGAGCCGACAGGCGTCTGGGTGGGATGAAGAGCAGATAGGTGGGTGAGAGTGTGGCTAAGTTAGGGGGGGGTGTGAGAAGACAGATGACTGGAGAGCAGACGAAGGATAGATAAATGGATGGTAGATGGAGGGGCAAATAGCAACAGCACCAGGATTGGAACCCAGGAGTATATCTGAGCTCAAACCTGTGGACATGACCCAGGGCTGTGTGTACCAAGGCTGCTCCACAGAATCCTTGCAGCCTTATGCCCAAGCCTGGCTGGGGTGAAGGGCCTCGTGGACCAGGCTCATGGATTCACCTCTGCTTCCTAGTTCCCACAATCAGAGCCTCTTAGCTTCATGTTCCATTACCAGGGCTCTGAGGTGGGGGTAGGAGGTAGGGCCTTACCTTCTCCAGGTAGTTAAACTCCATTGCGATCTCCCGGAAGAAGAAGTAGATGTGGCTGCCCCATTCTACCGCGTGGATAAAGTAGGGCTCTGTAGGAGAGGAGGGGTCAGAACTCAGCCCCTGACACGAGAAAAGGAGTTTCTGGGCCTGGGGACACAGCCTGGGTGGCTTTTTTATGGTGAAGGGGGGATATTGGTTGATTGCCCACGCAAAATAAAATAACTCGAAGTTGTTGAGTTTTTCTGTTTTTTTTTTGGTGGGGGCAGAAAGGTCAGAAGCCTAAAATCATCTCCAAATATAGCAATATCTGCTATTCGCGTTAAAGAGCTGAGTTCCTACTATACCCCTCTGGTAGCTCCACTTCAGATTTTGAAACCACCCATCCCCAGCAAGTTCTACTTTAGATCCAACTTAAATCATTCCTGTAGCTTTATTATCAAAGAGGCCAACGAGTTCCAAAGGTGAGATGGACTCTCCTCCCTGTCTGTCCTGGTACTCTTATTCTGGTGGGGGGATGTGACGAATGCCAGCCCTGCCAGGTCACTGTACCTTTGAACCACTTGGAGTCATGTTTCACGGTGCGCAGGGTGGGCCGGTCTCCGAGGCTGCGGTAGATGACTGCATCGATGGCGAGGAAGTCAGTAACAGTGGCCGTGAAGAGCATCCCATCTGTGGTCCATGGAGGGGGACGCAGGTGAGAGGTTAGGCAGTAAAGGCTAAAGGCCAGCTGGGGCAAAACTCCATTTTCCAAGACAGCCCTGAGCCTGCGTGAACGCCTGTCTCTAGGCAGAGTGCTGACCCTACCTGCGCCCCCAGCCCAGCTGAGTCTAGATCCTGGGATGAGATTCTGCCTATTTCACAGCTGGATGATCTCCTGGCTGCTTTCTAAAAGACCCCAACTCAAGAGAGGAAAATGTGATGCATTGCTCAGGGTAGGGACCCCATCAGATGGTCAGCATTGGGGGACACTCACCAGAGAAGAGGGCGACATTGGCATGTTTGGGGTCGTACGGGCAGCGGGCCATGCCACTGATGTTCTCCCCGAGAGGCTGCAGCGTGTCCATCTGCAGGGGAGACAGAGTCTGAGAACAGTTCCTGGTCACGCCTGGTACCCCTGACTGCCCCAATCCCCATCTCCAAGGGGAACCCTGGCTCTCTGGGATGCTGTGTGACTTAGGTCAGTCACCCAACCTCTCTGGGGCTTGGTTTTCTGATCCATAAATGAGTCTAAGATTCAGTCCTAGTCAGGCCTATCCCTGGGTCGTCGCTTATGTAGTTTCAGCTTCCCTGACCCCTTTGGAAGCCTCCTCTTGAGCTCTGGGATAGGGACAGGGAGGGCCTGTCCAGTAAGGCTTCCTGTACAAGACATGCAGCCTGGGAAATCGCAGGGCGAGCGGAGGCCAGGGGCCAAGGCCAGGGCTTGGAAGGCCAGCAGGCAGGGCCGCTGGAGAGCGGAGACTCACACTGTAGTTGGCGCATATAGGGTTGAAGGCGTTGGAACCGCACACGAACAGCGTGGATTCGTCTCGAAGTAACAGCACCTTTACAAAGTTTCGACACTCGGCCTAGGGGGTTGGGAAGATAAGTCAAGGGGGTGTGGTCACACGTGTGGGCGTGGCCATGTCGGTGGGCTGTGATAGGGCCTGACACGGGTGGGAGGCGGAGCCAGGGCATCTAGGTGGTCTTGTGGGAGGGGCCAGCGATGTGGGCGTGGTCAGGTCTGGGGCCCCTGTCACAGGTCAGGCTCTGGCAGAGGCCAAAATAGGAGCGGGTTGGAGGTTTGGCCATGACTAAGGGAAGGATCTAGACAGGGATCTAGACAGGGAGCTACACTGTATCCACGGTCATTAGGGGGTGGGACTATGCCAAGACCAGAGTTGACAGTAGTGACCGCCAAGGACCACTTGGGTCTGGGTTGGGGTGTGTCAGAGCAAGGCCAGAGCTGGGGGTGCGGCCAGGGCTCACCTCTTGTTTGCCTTTCATCCTACACACGTTGATGTCGCTGGGGTTGGAACGCCAGGTGAGTTTCTGAGGACAGAGGGAGCTGGTGAGGGGAGCAGGGTCCTGACAGACCCAGAAACCTCTGCCCGACAGAGACAAGCCCACCTTGCACCCTAACACAGTGTTAGGTCCCCTTAAACCATGGCCCTTCCCTCCCACCTGAGCCCCCTGCTCACCCGCTGGTACCGCAGCTCTGAAGACGTGGGGGGCTCCAGCTCCACCCGGTACAGGTTGTCCCTGGGGATGGGTATAGTTAGTTGGACTGAGGGGCCTCCACCCCGCCACCTTACAACCTCCCAACAGGAGACGTGGTGTCCATCTGAGAACACGCAGGTGCGCGCCCACGCAGCTGCCATGCGAGTCCCCACCACACCTACTCCCTCGCCTCACCTGCTTCCTCACGCCTAGAATGGCCTACAGGTGCTGGTGCAGCCCACATGCCTTAACATGCCACCTCATGCTCACACGCCTGCAGCCCCGGGGCCTGCACCCAGTGTGAGCTGCCCAGTGCTTTTATTTTTTATTTATTTTTTGCATGTTTTATTTATTTATTTGTTTGTTTCGTTTTTACATGCACTGGGTACAGTCAGAAGCGCGGGAGGGTGAGAGAATTCACCAGAGCCAGAGCGGGGAGCAGAGCAGGCAGAAGGACTGAAGTACACTGCTGAGGGGAGCAGCGGGCGGCAGGAGAGGTCTGCGCGCCATGTGGGACCCTCCTCCGGTTGCCGGGAGCAGCCGGGATCGAACCGGCGCCGCAGAAGCCGCGGGCAGCCTCCCAACCCAGCGCTCAGCCGCTGCGCCACCGGGGAGGCCCTGCCCAGTGCTTTTACATCGCATGTTCCCCTCCGCACCTCTCAGTCTCCCCAAGACCTGTCTCCTCCCCATAATGCTGCAGAAACTGCCCTAGCCAAAGTCATGGGGTCCCTCATGTTGTCAAGGCCAGAGGCCACTTTTCTGTTCTTCCCCCTTCCTGTCAGGGCTGGTCCCCCTTCCTCCTGGGAACCCCTCAGGACACCCCCCCCCAAATTGCTTGACTTCCCTCCCACTTCTCTGGTGCCCCCTTGGGCTATGCTACTTGTTGCTCAGGGCTGGGTCGTTGTCCTTGTCTCCCCACAGTACCCCTCTTGGGCAGCCTCATCCATTCCAGGGCATCTAACCCCGTCCACACCCTGACAAGCTCGGCCAGCAGTCTTGCTTCCAGTCTGGGCCCCCAAGATCCAGATTTGAGGTCCAGCTGCCCTTCTGGGGAGACTCATGGGGGCTTCATACTCAACAGGGCCATGTTGTACCCAACCCTCGCCCCAAACCTGCATCCTAGGGGGGCAGCTTTGTCCTTCCATGGGTACAGGTCAAAACCTAGAAGTCATGCTTAACTCCCCTTCCCACATCAGCCAGTGCTATCTGCCTTTACTGTCTATCAAGAATCCACCCTCTTCTCAGTCCCTGTCTAGCCTCCATTATGACCCACTTGAACCAGGGCCCTCCCTGGTTCCCCAGGCTCCCCAATGAGCCCCAGTCGGTCCTTCCAGAAACAACCACCAGAGGGCGCCTGTGAGCACAGGGTTCAGGGCCAGGCCCCGCTTTGCTCACAGCCCTCTGGGCCCCCGCTTTGCTTTCTGAGAGACCCCTCCATGCCCACAAGGCCCTGCCCTGCCTTCCCCTTCTCCTCCCTACACCCTATCCTTTTCCCTTGCTCTGTTCCGGTCAGGCAGGCCTCCTTGCCGCTCCTCCAACAAGCCAGGCACAATTCTATCTCAGGGTAGGTTGGGGCTGTGGCCTCTGCCTGGATTTTCCCTAGATTTCCCCATGGCTGGCTCCATATCATTCAAGTCTCAACTCAAATGTCACCTCCTGAGAGAAGCCCTGGGGTGCCACTTCAGCATCCTCTGTAGACACCCCAGCTGTCCCCACCTGCTACCACACCCCAGATTCAGAACCCGGGGCTCCCTGGTGGCGCAAGGGGTTGAGCACTGCACTATGGGGCAGTCCGCAGCCTCTGCAGCACGAGTTCGATCCCCGGCCAGGGAGCAACCCACATAGCGCGGCAGACCCCTCCTGTCTTGCCCACTGCTCCCCTCAGCAGTGTATTTCGGTCGGTCGGTCTGTTCTGCTCCCCACTCTGTCTCTGATGAATCCTCTCACCACCCACAACTCTGGCCTGTACCCCAGCTCTTGTGTGCATAAATAAATAAGTATTTTAAAAAAACAAAAACCAAATTCGGAATCCTCAAAAGCCATTCCATGGACACACAGGTCCCATCTAAAAATGCCTCCACCTGCTCCCCACACCTTACCCGGCACACCCTGCGCGACAATCCCCCGTACCTGTCCCCGATGAAGAGCGTCCTGTTGACCCTCAGGACCCGCTGGATGTTGAGGTCATCGGGGCCCTCTGCAGGGGCCAGGCGTCCCGACCCGCTCCCCACGAACACGGGATAGTGGTTCAGGTCTAGAGGAGGGGGAGGGAAGGGTGTGACCCAGGGTTGGGGTGAGCACAGCCCCTGGGGGGAGGAAGGCAGCAGACCCAGCTGGGACACCGGAGCCTCCCTCGCCAAACCCCCCCCCCCGCCCCAGGATCCCCACTTACAGTCCTTGGGGGCCACACTGAGAGGTGGCAGCTCCTCGGGGAAGAGACCGTGGGCGCCCCCAAGTAGCAGCAGTAGGCGCAGTAGAGCCAGACGGGGAGGGGACGCTCTCGGGGTCCGCATGGCGAGGTTGGGGCGAAGGGAGGTGACACCTGAAGACGAGGGGCGGGGCGGTGAGCGCGGAGGCCTGCAGTACCGCCACTCGCCGGTAGAGGGCAGGCGAGCCGCAGCAATGTAGACCAAGTCCCAGAAAAATTCCCCTTTAGGATAATAATAAAAAATTACAATAATCATGGCGATAACGACAATAATAGCAGCACTTATTTAATTATCAGTACAACTTTCTGACACTTTAGTGAAATCTCAGGAAACGATTTCTATCAAAAATTAATAATAATGAGAATATTAATAGATACAGCACCTCAAAACATTTTAAAATTCAATCTCAAAAGTATATTTAAGAATTCTTAGAACTGAAACAAAAAATCTTAAAATTAAAGACTAAAGAAATTCAAAGGCTCTTGGAATTTTATAAATCACAACCTGGGAATTGCAATATTTTAGCATTGCTGAGTATTCTAGCAGTCCCAGTAAGTCTGGCTTCCTTCCCCAGTCCAGCCTTTCTATCCTTCACGGGGGTACCCCTGTGACAGGCCCCTCACTAGCACTCCAGGGGATCTGTTTCCCCTCCCGTTCAAGATAATGTGAAGAACCTTCCAGAGGTGTGGAGCCGAGTCTCCCAGTGATGATCTGGTTGGTGGAAACATGCACAGAGCTCACCCTCTGGAACCCAGCCCTCCATGCCCCTTCCAGAAGGGGCACACTCCATCTCCTGGAGACCCTGAATAAGAAATGAGGCAGCCTTGTTTTTCTAGGCAAGACCTGTGCCTCAGTTTCCCTGCCTGAGTATCAGGGACATTGCCATGCCCTGCCCTGGCCTCACAGCTCTGGGATTCTGCAGCCCTGGAAGTGAAGGTGATGCGGGATCTTTGCCCCTGGAGTGCTCTGAGGATTCAGGGCCAGAAAACAGGAAGGTCTTGCGTGGCCCGGCAGGGCTTCCGCTCCCTGACCTGCACTTCCAGGATTTGTGACTCAGCGGATGCCGGGATCCCATGCGTGTGAGGTCATGACCCTGTTTCCTCAAGGGTTTCCTCCCCAGGCCCCTCCCCTGCTCCACAGCTTCAGTGGCTCCCACCAACCTCCCAGGCCCTGCTCACCTGGCATTCAAGGCCCCCAACTTGACTGCTGCCCCGATAGCACCTTCCCACCCTCATGCTGCTGGCCCTTCAAGCCTCTTTCCCCGACCCCACCTGCCCAGGGTGCCCAGTTTTTTGGGTGTCTGCTCTGTGCCTTCTTTTTCTTTTTTTAAACAATTTTTACATGGTGGTAAAATATATATAACATTTACCATCTTCACCATGTTTAAGTGCTCAGCTCAGTGGCATTAAGCACGTTCATGCTGTTGCGCAGCCGAACCCACCCTCCAGCTCCAGAACTTTTTCATCTTCTCCAACTGGAGCTCAGGCCCCATTAATCTCTAACATCCCTTCTCTCCCCTCCCCCGGCTCCTGGCAGCACCTTTACTTCCTGTCTCTATGGATGTGGCTCCCCTGGGGCCCTCCTGGGAGTGGGTCACACCGTGTCCTGTGTCTGGCTTGTTTCACGGAGCTTCGTGTCCTTAAGGCCCATCCACATTGTTCCCTGTGTCTGAATTTCCTTCCTTTTTAAGGCAGGAGAACGTTCCCCTGTCTGCATGGACACACCATGTGTCTCTGCGTCTCTGTTGATGGACCCTTGGGTTGCTTCCAGCTTCTTGCTCTCTGAATAATGCTGCTTTCACTGCGCCGGGTGTGGGCGCCCACACGCGCATCATGTATGTACCCGGGTACGTGTGTGTGTGTCTAGGAGGGTGCTGGGTCATGTGGTCATTCTATGCTGACCTCCACAGCGACCTCACCACCCCCGCTCCTGGCAGCAGCACACAAGGTTCAATAGCTATATCTCCCCAGCAACGCTTGTTATTTTTTGATTTTTGATAATAGCCGTCCTAATGGGTGTGTGATGGTGTCCTGGGCTTCTTATCCCATGTTTTTTTTTTTTTCAGAATAATGTTTAAGAAATATCTAAGAATAAGAAAGTTCAAACAATAGCTTCCCTTCCCTGATCACGCCGCACCCAAGGCTGCAAGGCTGCAAGGGCACAAACCCTAGTTCTGCCATTTACCTGCCATATGGCCCTGGACAGGTCACTCCCCAGCTCTGGGCCTCAGTTTCCTCATCTGTAAAATGGGCACGGCAACACATCATCCTGTGGTGGGTGTTAGCACCAGGGATGACGCCACAAAACCCCCACTGGCTCTAGCAGAACTGGTATAACATCCAACCCATTTGGCAGATGTGGAAACTGAGGCACTGTGGCCCTGCCAGAGAGGATGTGGCAGCTGGACTGAACCCAGGGCTCCGAAGTTCCAGGGTTTTCCACAGATGTCTCTATGTCCTACATGTTGGACGGAGTAATGTTCATGCAAATTAATAATCACCCAGCCTATGCACCTGTCTGTCAACTGGTGACCCCAGCAGTAACGTAACACCCAGTTCACAGACCGACAGACTGAGGCCCCATGTCCAAATGGAACCTTGTGCTTAATTTTTTTCTCCTGGTTTTCTTAACTTTGCAATGCAACAACCTGGGGCTAGTAAGGGGTTTCATGTCCTCCCTCTGCCCACAGCTGCCCGCAGCCCCACAGATCCACTCTAGGCCATCGGGGACCCAAGCTCTTTCTTTGCCTCAGATCAGCTTCTCCTAAGAGACCCTCCACTGGGGACGCCCCATCATCCCTGAGCTGAAGGCCAAGATCACGCCTCCCTGCCCCCTCCACCACCCATCTCTGCCCAGCTCCCTCCAGAGCCGCTCACTCGTCCCATCTGCTCTGACTGCCCTACCACCCACCTAGTTCCCTGGCCCCCAGTGCTGCCCCTCTGTCTCCTCCTCAAGGCAGCAAAGGGATCTTTCCAGAATTCAAATCTCTCCTGTTTCTCCCCTGCTGTAAACTAGGGTCTGTTCTGGGGGTGGGAGGCTGTTTGGAGCACTGTGGGGTGTTGAGCAGCAACCCTGGCCTCTGCCTACTCGATGCCAGAAGCACCCCCACTTGTGACAGCCACAGATGTCTCCAGACTTCGCCATGTCCTGCTCAAACCCTTCTATGGCTTCCCAGCACCCTTGGATGAAGCTTCAGCTCCCCCCTCCCTTCCAGCTCCTCCTCCAGACGCCTTACTTGCTGTTCCCTCTGCCTGGAACTCCTTCCTTGTGCTCCCGGTAACCTGGTGACCACCTCCTTGAGGTTTCAGATGCCTCCTCCAGAAGGCTTCCCAGGTGATGCCCCAGACTGGGCAGAGGCCTCCTCCGGACTTCCAAAGCGCCTGCTTCCCCCCCTCCCCAAGTGCTCCAACCACCCTACCTCTAGCTGCCTGTTATCTCTCTCTCTCCCCACGGGGCTGGGAGTCCCTGAGAGGCCAGGGCTGGGTCTGTCTTGGCCACCCTTGCGTCCCCAGCGCAGGGCCTGGCTTACAGTGGGAGCTGCATAAATCATAAAAATAGCCAACACAAGGAACTCACCATGTGCCAGGCATCGTGGCAAGTACTTAAATTAACTTATTTAATCTGCGCAACCCACCCAAGAGGTGGGTGTGTTTGATGTGGCCCGGATACAGCCTGGGAAATCGAGGCGCAGAGGGTCAAGTCATTTGCCCAAATGGAAGCTGTGGAGCCGAGACTGAAACCCGGCCTTAGGTTACCGGCCCCCCACGGCACCAGATCAGGGCTCCCGGAGGCCTCTCGCGGGAGGTCTTAGCGCCTCGCCCGTCCCCTCAAGACCATCTGCTTCTCTCCATGAAACTCAAGGCCCTCCTGCCAGCAGCCGCCCGGCGCCCGCCTGCCCAGAAGTGGCCCCACCACCTGCCCCAGCACCTGGCCACCGGGAACCACCACGCAGGGCCAGCTGCGGGGAGCCACTTGGCTGGCATGTGCAGCCCCAATGTGCCGTGCACCCCTGCACCCGCATGTCTGAGGGCATGTGTCTGCGGGCGGCGAGCCCCTGCCTGCAGCCCGTGGGTGCGTGCTCTGGGCAGAGGCACAGCCAGGGCCATGACGTGCCCCTCCCCTCCAGGGAGGCTCGGGCTGTGGCCGGCCCCTCTGCTGGACCTCCAACCCCCCGCACACAATCCCGGGCACGGATGAGGCAACCCAGGCAGAGGCAGCAATTCCCTCCAGGGCGCCCTACTTCACACCATCTTCCTGGGAAACCCATTCTTGCACTGACCCCAGACCCTCTTCCTAAATGCCACACTACCTTAGTTACTATAACTTTGTCATTGGTTCAAATTTCCTTCTGGAACATTCTCTCACTTGGCACTTCTTGGGGAGGCAAGGTGTCCGGGCTACTCTTGACCCCTCTAGTGCTTCAGTATAAATTTTAGGATGAGCTACTAAGTTCCCAAACAAACAACAAATGAAAAAATCTGTGGAGAGACTCACCGGTAGTTGAACATCAGAGCAAATTAACCTATTGAACGACAACTGATGCCCCCACCCCAACCAGCACCTCCCTGCTCCCCCTTCTCAGCTGATGGCTCAGCCCACACCTGGGAACCTTCTCCCAAATAGCACCCCCAGCCAGCCTCAATCTCTCACACTCAGGTTGAATGTCAGCAAGCCCTGTGGCCTCTGCCTTCACATGTATCCAGAACTTTCACCCCTTCCCAGTTCATTCTTTGGCAAGACCCCATCACCTCCCACCTGGACCACTGCCTCCCCCTACCTGGTCCTCTGCTCTGCCTCTGACACTCGCACCCCCTCCCAGCCCCTGTCTCTCCTCTCCAAGCAGCCACAGGGTGCGGCTGTGAGCACCCAGTCAGGCCCTGTGCCTCCTCCACCCACAGCCCTCAGGGCTCCCCCATCCTCGGGGTACAAGCCGCCTAGCAGGACTTTCTATTCTACCATTATCTCCTCCCTGACTCCCCGCTTGCTCACTGCCCCAGCCACACAGGCCTCCTTGCTGTTCTCCAATAGGCCAGGCTGGGCCCGGCCCCAGGACCTCTGCATTGGCCATCACCTCCACCTGGAAGCCTCCTCCCAGATACTCACATGGCTCGCT